AGAAGGGTCCTAAGTGGCGTCAAGCTGCATTAATGCTCTTGGGTGAAAGAAAGGTAGGAGAAAATAAATATAATTTCCAGCTTGGTGCTTTCACCTCTCTGCAAGAATTTTTGCCAGACCTTCCAGGCCCAAACTTGTTCAAACTGAATTGTATGAATTCCTATTCATGCATCTGTCCTTGGGAAATTTTAAATCCTTTGGAGTTGAAGGGGGGGAAAACCCAGGAATTAATTGGCAGCATGTTGTGCTTTCTAGGCATGAGTTTCTTTTGTCTGGAAAATATTAAGTCCATGCTTTACATTCCTAAGTCCTGTGTATCCAGACCTGCTGCTGTTTTGCCCTTGGTAGCAGAGGAAGAGATGTCTTGTCTACAATATAATCACTTCCATACCAAATGATAAAAGGTCTGAAAGCTTGAACGTGGATTATTTTGACTCTCTCTTTGTGTCTTCCTGTTTTCAGGCAAACTCTTAGTCTTGACAGCAGCCACTGCCGAGACAGAAGGATACCAGCGTTTCCTGCGGACTGCCAAATATTTAAACTACACTGTCAAGGTAGTTGTCAATCTTCCCTCCCATTATCTTCCCAAGAAACCCAGAAAAATGGAAAATGCCTCTTTTCTTAAGCAGCGTGGCCAATATACAGTTCTCTTTTGGTCTTTTACCCCATACATTTCAAGGGGTGCATATACACTGTGGAATTAATGACACCACCTTAACTACTAGGTAAAGGTAAAGGTTTCCCCTGACATTAAGTCTAGTTGTCTCTGACTTTGGCAGAGTGGTGCTTATCTCCATTTCTAAAACCAAAAAGCCGGCGTTATCCATAGACACCTTCAAGGTCATGTGGCCAGCATGACTGCTTAGCACGCCATTACCTTCCCACAGAAGGGGTACCTATTGATCTATTTATTTATTATTTATTTATTTATTTACTTTGCTTATATACCGCTGTATCTCAAGCCCGAAGGCGACTCACAGGGTTCACAAACAGTAAAAACAGTAGAAACAGCAGTGGTTCCATACAACATATAACAATTGACTTAACACATTATCCATAAATTACCAATAAGCAATTACAATGCACAATTATTACAAAAAACAACCGTACCCAATCTTCTCATCATCCAAGCGTAGTCCAGGTTCGTCGTCCATTGTTCCATTCCTATGTTCCATTACCAGATTGCACTAAATTACTCAAACGCCTGCACAAACATCCAGGTCTTCACCTTTTTGCGGAATACCATTAGAGATGGTGCTAGTCTAATGTCCGTAGGAAGGCGTTCCACAGCCGAGGAGCCACCACCGAGAAGGCCCTATCTCTCGTCCCCGCCAGCCGAGCTTGAGAAGCAGGCGGGATCGAGAGCAGGGTCTCCCCGGAAGATCTCAAAGTCCTGGTGGGTTCATAGGCAGAGATGCGGTCAGATAGGTAGCTTGGGCCGGAACCGTTTAGGGCTTTAAAGGCCAACGCCAGCACTTTGAATTCAGCCCGGTAGCTCACATATGTTTTCGAACTGCTAGGTTGGCAGAAGCTGGGCCTAACAGTGGGAGCTCATCCCACTCTCCCAGATTCGAACCTGCTAACCTTTCAATCAGCAAGTTCAGCAGTTCAGTGATTTAACCCACTGCGCCATATTGTTGGCCCTATAATAATAATAATAATATAATAATAATAATTTATTTGTACCCCGCTACCATCTCCCCAAGGGACTCGGTGCGGCTTACATGAGGCCAAGCCCACAGCACATCAATAAACAAAAGCAATAACAAATAATCAATACAAAACAGTTAAAATAAAAACTCAAAAACAAAAATACACAACAAGCAATAAACAAAAACAATAACATACAGCATTTAAAAACCTATGGCTATGGCTCGACATTATAGGATTTTGGGAGTTGTCGTTTTACAAGGTCTTTTTCCTTTTGTGCCAAAGAGTACTGATACCTCACCAAATTATAAACACCAGGATTCCATAGCATTGAGCCATGAGTGTTAAAATGATGTAAAACTGCAATAATTCTACAGTGTAGGTACGCTCTAAGTATGGTTGTGAAAGCTCAAAAAGGTGATAAGCAGGGAAAAACAGTCATCCTTCTACATTTGCTGGGGCTTCAAGGCAGAGGACCACCACATAAGTGAAACACTGAAAATAAAGTTATCATTAATATTGTTTTTTCCTACATGAGAACACCTCTTTAAGAATCTCTAGATCACTGTTTCTCAACCTGGGGGGGTCATGGGGGAGGGGGGGTGTCAGACGGGTTGCCAGAGACCATCAGAAAACAATATTGTCTCTTGTTTATAGGGATTCTGTGTGGGAAGTTTGGCCCAATTCTGTCATTGGTGGGGTTCAGAAAATACTCTTTGATTGTAGATGAACTATAAATCCCAGCAACTACAACTCCCAAATGTCAAGTCAATTTTCCCCAAACTCCACCAGTTATCACATTTGAGTATATTGAGTATTCATATCAAATTTGGTCCAGATCGATCATTGTTTGAATACATGGTGCTCTCCTGATGTAGGTGAACTACAACTCCAGAATTTAAGGTCAATGCCCACCAAACCCTTCCAATATTTTCTGTTGGTCATGGGAGTTCTGTGTGCCAAGGTTGGTTCAATTCCATCGTTGATAGAGTTCAGAATGCTCTTTGATTGTGGGTGAACTATAAATCCCAGCAACTACAACTCCCAAATAACAAAATCAATGCCCTTCCAACTCTACCAGTATTCAGATTTGAGCATATCGGGTATTTGTGCCAAATTTGGTCCAGTGAATGAAAATTCATCCTGCAGATCAGATATTTACATTACGATTCATAACAGGAGCAAAATCTTAGTTGTGGATTAGCAATGAAAATAATGTATGGTTGGGGGTCACCACAACATGAGGGGTCGCGGCATTAGGAAGGTTGAGAAACACTGTTCTACAGTGTAGATATGCTCTAAGTATGGTTGTGAATCTCAATACTGGAAAAAAGATGATAAGGAAAAAACAGCCTTCTACATTTGCTGGGGCTTAGAGGCAGAGGACCACCATAAAAGTGAAAAACTGCAAATAAATAAATTGCTAATTTTGTTTTTTACTGGCGAGAATGCCTCTCTAAGAATCTCTACATCCTCCATTATGACTCAGCTAATACCAAAGTCACTAGAGACATTTTAATCAAATCAGTGAATAATCAAATCTGCAAAAATAAGACCCATAAATGTGAACTCACTTGAAATGTGGTGCTGGAGAAGCTAGTCTTGAACATACAGCACACTATTCATATTGCTGTATTTGAAGCCACAAAAGTCAACATTGACACTGAAATTCAACACCGCCTGAGCTCTGCAAGTGCAGCATTTTTCCGAATGAAGCAGAGAGTGTTTGAGGACCAGGACATCCGTAGGGATACCAAGGTGCTTGTTTATAAAGCTATTGTCCTCCCAACCCTGCTATATGCCTGCGAAACGTGGACTGTCTACAGACGTCACATGCAACTCCTGGAACGATTCCATCAGCGCTGTCTCCGGAAAATCCTGCAAATCTCTTGGGAAGACAGGCGGAAACATCAGCGTGCTGGAAGAAGCAAAGACCACCAGCATTGAAGCGATGGTCCTCCGCCATCAACTCCGCTGGACCGGCCATGTTGTCCGGATGCCCAACCACCGTCTCCCAAAGCAGTTGCTCTACTCCGAACTCAAGAACAGAAAACGGAATGTTGGTGGACAGGAAAAGAGATTTAAAGATGGGCTCAAAGCCAACCTTAAAAACTCTGGCATAGACACTGAGAACTGGGAAGCCCTGGCCCTTGAGTGCTCCAGCTGGAGGTCAGCTGTGACCAGCAGTGCTGCAGAATTTGAAGAGGCACGAATGGTGGACAAAAGAGAGAAACGTGCCAAGAGGAAGGCACATCAAGTCAACCCCAACTGGGACCGCCTTCCACCTGGAAACCGATGCCCTCACTGTGGAAGTAGATGCAGATCAAGAATAGGGCTCCACAGTCACCTATGGACCCACCACCAGGATACCACTCTTGGAGGACCATCATCCTCGGACTACGAGGGATCACCTAAGTAATATTCAGAGCACTCATGCTTATCTGCAGTCTGTGATAAAGATGAATTACTGCCCCCTAAACTAAGCCATTTTGCTTCCGTTTTGTTTGTTACCCTTGTTTACCCCTTCCCCAGACTCTGGGTTTAGGTGAAGACTGGAAAGGAGGAGATGTGGCTCGGACAGTCGGTGGAGGACAGAAGGTCCGATGGCTGAAGGCCGAAATGAAGAAATACGCCAATGAGGAGGACCTGATTGTCATGTTTGTGGACAGGTAGGCTCTGTGATTTTGTCATTGTGATTTCTTGAACATAGGTCCAGCTACAACCCCAGAAATCCCAGCCAGTTTACCATCTATTAGGATTTCTGGGATTTGAAGACCAAAACATCTGGGGACCCAAGGGTGAGAACCACTGCTGTAGAGACTCATTCTTGATCTGCACATTCTGACATAATGAGGAGATCTATTTCTAGATGGAAAATGTTTAGTTTATCTAACTTGTGGCCCCTTTACTCCAAAGGAGGTGGAACATTTCAAGCACATGCAAACTCTCTGTCTGTCTTCATTTCCAGCTATGATGTGATCCTGGCCGGGAGCCCCATCGAACTTCTATGGAAGTTCAAGCACTTCAAGAGCAAGGTGGTTTTCTCAGCGGAAAGCTTTTGCTGGCCAGAATGGTCACTGGCTGAAAAATATCCACCGGTCGCTGTTGGGAAGCAATTCCTCAATTCAGGAGGTAAAAAGGTTAAATGTGGGCAGTGATGGTTTATGTGTGCTCCATGTTAATAGGGGGCAGTGAATCCACTCTGTGTTTTAGTTTGGTCTTTCAAGAGGGTAGCTTATGTGCTGAATCCTAACCCTGAAACACTTTCTATAGGCAATCTCTTTAGGGTCTCCAAGGTAACTCTGTGATCAGTGTCCGGTGGAAATTGAGCCACACTGAAAGACCTAGTGATTCCCTCAAAAACATTTATTATTATTATTATTATTATTATTATTATTATTATTATTAGAAACACAACAAGATGAGTCCACAGCAGACACTCTGCTGGCTGTTGTATTGGATCACATGTCGGACACTTCCCAAGTGTCTAGGACTGTGTGATGTATCGGTGAATAATGCATGCAGATCCCAGTAAGAGTGACCTTTTGCAGCTGGCAGATGGTAATCTTGTCAGCGCCATTGTGTGTTAAGTGCAGGCCAAGGTCTTTAGGCACTGCACCCAGTGTGCCAATCACCCCTGGTACCACCTTGACTGGCTTGTGCCAGAGTCTTTGCAGTTCGATCTTTAAATTCTCATATTGTCAGCTATTATTATTTATTTATTATTATTATTATTATATTATTATTATTATTATTATTATTATTATTTCTGACACAAAAGCACAGTATGTCACAGCAAAGATCTATATGCTGGATTTAGTATCACAAAATCACAAGTCAAACACGTCCCAAGCGTCTAGGACTGTGTGATGTATTTTCGAATGATGCGCAGATCCAAGTAAGGTGGCCTTTTGCAGTTGACAGATCGTGATTTTGTCGATGTTTATTGTTTCCAAATGCCGGTTGAGATCTTTTGGCACGGCACCCAGTGCGCCAGTGACCACTGGGACCACCTGTACTGGTTTATGCCAGAGCCTTTGCAGTTCGATTTTGAGGTCTTGATAGTGGCTGAGTTTTTCCTGTTGTTTTTCCTCAATGCGACTGTCACCTGGAATGGCGACATCAATAATCCAGACTTTTTTCTTTTCCACAATCGTGATGTCTGGTGTATTGTGTTCCAAAACTTTGTCAGTCTGGATTCGAAAGTCCCACAATATTTTTGCGTGTTCATTTTCCATGACCTTTGCGGGTTTATGATCCCACCAATTCTTTACTGCTGGCAGGTGGTACTTGTGACATAAGTTCCAGTGAATCATCTGGGCCACAGAGTTGTGTCTTTGTTGTTATTATTATTATTATTATTATTATTATTATTATTATTACATTTATTTATAACCTTGTTTATCTCTCCTGAAGGGGACTCAAAGCAACTTAGCATAAAAACATTATTACACAATTTAAAATATACAAATATACAAACATTAAAAAAGAATTACCATATATACTTGAGTATAAGCCGACCTGAATATAAGCCAAGGCACCTAATTCTGCTATTAAAAAACTGGGAAAACATATTGACTCGAGTATAAGCCGAGGATGGGAAATGCAGCAGCTACTGGTAAATTTCAAAATAAAAATAGATACCAATAAAATTACATTAATTGAGGCATCAGTAGGTTAAATGTTTTTGAATATTTACATAAAACTGTAATTTAAGATAAGACTGTCCAACTCTGATTAAATCATTATTCTAACCTTCTTCACTGTAAATGTGCTTACGTATCCTTCCAATAATAATAAAGAGCGTAAAATAATAAATGTAACAAAATGATAATAGAATAAAATAATATAAATGAAATAACAGTAATAATAGAGTAAAATAATAAATGTAATATAACAATAATAGAGTAAAATAATAAATGTAATAATAATAATAATAATAATAATAATAGAGTAACGTAATGTAAATGTAATACTACTGCTAATAATGGAATAAAATAATAAATGTAATAATAATAATAATAATAATAATAATAATAATAATAGAGTAAAATAATAATGTAATAATAAATAATAAGTAAAATAATAAATGTAAATAAAATAATAATAATATTTTGGTCGTGTCAGGAGCGACTTGAGAAACTGCAAGTCGCTTCTGGTGTGAGAGAATTGGCCGTCTGCAAGGATGTTGCCCAGAGGGCGCCTGGATGATTTGATGTTTTTAACAACAAGAACAACAACAACAATCCAGTAAAATAATAAATAACATTGACTCGAGTATGAGCTGAGGGAGGCTTTTTCAGTCTAAAAAAGGGCTGAAAAACTCAACTTATACTCGAGTATATACAAATATAAACAGTATTAAAAATTCACAGTTAAAACCCATATTAATCAAATCCATGAATCATCAACTCCGCAAAAGTAAAACCTGCAAATATGGAAGGCTGACCGTACACCATTCAGCCCTTTGATGTCATTATAAGTGCATAGTTCCATCTTATGGGATTTGTAATTTTGGTAGAGTTCTCTGCTAGAGAGCTGTAGTGGGTCACCAAACTACAGATTTCAGGATGCCATTGAGTGGAACCAGCCATGGAATTAAATCAGTACTAAAAGGCTATGGTGTGAAAGATAACAATGACTTGGAGGAATGGATAATGGGCATTGGAGGGTAGAGACAGAGGAGGAAAATCAATGCAAGCAAAGAATGAGATCTCTGCAGCATGCTGAAGGTCTGTACTTGGCCATAATAATTCTCCCAAAGAGTTTTGTGTATGCCAGTGTCATCCCATGACCACAGAGTTATGCATTCTCCCCTTAAGAATGCAAGGTTAGTCTCGAATAATGCACAACCTCCAAAGGACCAAGGCTACATCTCTTTCTCCTAGGGTTTATCGGTTATGCCCCCACCATCAATCGCATTGTCCAGATGTGGAAATACAAGGATGACGATGATGACCAGCTTTTCTATACCCGTATTTACTTGGACCCAGGCTTAAGGGTGAGTGAAGACCATGAGAAAGATACAGGATGAATATTTAGCGGTTTGAGCATTGATTTATACCTCTGGAAACCTAGATTCGGGTCTGCTCAGCTGTGAAAACCCATTGAGTAACCTGGGTAAGTGACATACTCTCAGAAAACCCCATGATAGGTTCTCTTTAGGGTCACCATAAGTTGGAAATGGCTCGAAGACAGACAACAATCTCCCTGTGGTGCTATATCCTCCTTCCAGTCACAGAGTTTCCTGATGGGAGGAATGATTGTGACAATGGTTTATTGTAGACTAGCTTGGCTCCCCAGCATTGCCTGGGATTTGAAAAAAGTCATTTTTTTAATTGTACAAAATCTCATATCTACAACTACAACTCACATCATGCCAGGTTAACCCCAAAAAACTCCATCAGTACTCAAAGTTTGTAATGTTGGGCAAGTTTCCTCTAGATGCATCATTGGTGGGATTCAGTGTGATCTCTGGCTGTAGAGTAAACTACAACTCCCACTATGGTGAGTCAGTCCCATAGTCAAACCCTTCAGTAGGTTGAGTTAGTCATGAGGATTCTGTGTGCCAAGTTTGGTCCAGGTCCATCATCAGTGGAGGTAACAGTTTCTCTGGTTGTGGGTGAACTACAATTCCCAGAAAGAAAGGCCAGTTCCTCCCAAACCCCTCCAGTAATCAAATTTCGGCATATCAGGTATGTGTGCCAAGTTTGGTCCAGATCCATCAGTATTTGGGTTCACAGTGCTCTCTGGGTATAGGTAAACTACAACTCCCTCAAATCAATGTGAATTTTCTCCAAAGACCTTCAGTATTTTTTCTTAGTCATGGTAGCTCTGTGTACCAAGTCAGTTCCAGGTCCATCATTGGTGGAGTTCAGAGTGCTCTAAGATTTCAGGTGAACTATACATCCCAGGATCTACAACTCCTATAAATCATGGTGAATTCTCCCCAAACCTCTATTATGTTCAATTGCTGATCAATTTCTCTATTTGCTGTGTGCCATAGAAAATAATAGGAAAGGGTTAAGGGAGAGGCAGTGGGCGGGATCATGCAAATTCCGCACCAATGGAGAGTGTAAGAAACACTGGGATATCTGTGGTGAAGGAAACACATGAAATATAAGATGAAATGGTCCCCATATGAAAGCCTTCACTCGGGTGGTGGGCAATATGGTGTTGGTGGAGGACATTGGACATGTTCATGGTGCTCGCTATAACATTGGAGGAAGGGCCAGTGGTGTCTCCTAAGCAGTGGGAGCTTTAGCTGTTTGTGGAGAAAGGAGCTTGTCAGTGTATGTGGACATCCCAGCCACATACACACACGTACATATTTTCACTTTTATTACGTGTATAGTTTTTTGTTTTATTTTTACCACTTTCTCCTTCCTTGTCTGTAGGAGAAACATGGGATCGCCCTCGATCACAAGTCGAAAATTTTCCAAAACTTGAATGGGGCCATTGGTGAGTGATGCTCTTTCTCCAAATGTCATTGCAATAGAGTGGCAGCAAATGAATCATTGGCGTGTAAAGGAAAGTTGGAAAGATGTGAAAGAGAAGACCACTTGGGGACACCCTTTTCTCCTGTACAATTAATGCAGTTTGTGTTTTTTCATGGTTTCTTGATCAGAAAGAATTAATATGTTGCATATGTTCTTTTTGTCTGTTTGTTTAACAGAGGAGGTAGTTCTGAAATTTGAGCCGACCCGAGTCCGAGCCCGCAATGTGGCTTACGACACCCTTCCTGTTGTCATCCATGGCAATGGGCCCACCAAGGTAACTCGTTTCTGTATATATGATGGGGATATTAATCTTTGAAGAACTTTGCTCATGACATTGGGGCGGTATATCTACCATATTTTCTGGCATATAAGACGACTGGGCATATAAGATGACCCCCAACTTTTCCAGTTAAAATATAGAGTTTGGGATATACCCGCCGTATAAGACTACTCCTCCAACGCACACCAAATAAAAATTTAAAAAACATCAGATTTGATTTCAATATGGTAATTTTCCTATTACCGTACCTCCTTCTCTGCCTCTCAGATCTCAAGAGCGAGATCTGAGAGGCAGAGAAGGAGGTACGGTAATAGGATACAAGGGCGGGCCAGACGGATGAAAGATATGTGTATTTCTGGGCACAGCGGTGCTCTATCACTTTTTCCCATACTCTGGACATCCTGGATGCCTGCAGCTTGCTCCGCCCTTCACTTACACCTTCCCGATGAGGCACCCCCTCACCTCATCATTGGGACTGTGTTAAGTCCCTTTTTCCCACGAATCCTGGTGATTGGATTTTCTTCTACCGTACTTGCACAGTGCTGCCCTTGCTGCTTTCATATGGTCACCGCATACAGCGGGGATGTGACCGTGGCCGTTTTTGTGCTCCCACCACCATATGTGGCAACCGCAGATTCTCCAGTCCAGCTTGGAAGTTTCAGCATCCACCCTATAAGACCACATCCGGCGTATAAGACGACCCCCAACTTTTGAGAAGATTTTCCTGGGTTAAAAAGTAATCTTATACTCTAGAAAATACAGTACTTTGGATCTAGGTTTGAACATTAAAGGAGCTATCAAAAGGGTCCAGGGACCTAATAGACCAATGAGGCTACCATATTTTAGAATATATACTATCCAGAATTCCAAAATACTAAGTATGCCCAGTGGCGACCTTGGTGGCGCAGTTGAGCTGCTGAACTTGCTGACCAAAAGGTTGGCGGTTCAAATCCGGGGAGTGGGGTGAGCTCTCTGTGTTAGCCCCAGCTTCTGTAACCTAGCAGTTCGAAAACATGCAAATGTGAATAGATTTATTTATTTATTTTTATTTATTTCTCGTGTCAGGGCAGCCAGTCAATTATATTACATTTCTAACAGAACAAAGCAAACAAACAGAGAAAATACAAAATGTGTGAGTTTGGTAGTTGATTAAATGTCCTTTGACCAGTATCTGGCCACTTGGAGTGCTTCTGGTGTTGCTGCAAGAAGGTCCTCCATTGTGCATGTGGCAGGGCTCAGGTTGCATTGCAGCAGCTGGTCAGTGGTTTGCTCTTCTCCACACTCGCATGTCGAGGATTCCATTTTGTAGCCCCATTTCTGTAAGGTTGGCTCTGCATCTCGTGGTGCCAGAGCGCAGTCTGTTCAGCGCCTTCCAAGTCACAGTCTTCTGTGTGCCCAGGGGGGAGTCTCTCATTTGGTATCAGCCATTGGTTGAGGTTCTGGGTTTGAGCCTGCCACTTTTGGACTCTCGCTTGCTGAGGTGTTCCAGCGAGTGTCTCTGTAGATCTTAGAAAACTATGCCTGGATTTAAGTCGTTGACGTGCTGGCTGATACCCAAACAGGGGATGAGCTGGAGATGTCTCTGCCTTGGTCCTTTCACTATTGGCTGCTACTTCCCGGGATGTCAGGTGGTGCAATACGGCTAAGCAGTGTAATTTCTCCAGTGGTGTAGGGCGCAGACACCCTGTGATAATGCGGCATGTCTCATTAAGAGCCACATCCACTGTTTTAGTGTGGTGAGATGTGTTCCACACTGGGCATGCGTACTCAGCAGCAGAGCAGCACAGCGCAAGGGCAGATGTCTTCACTGTATCTGGTTGTGATCCCCAGGTTGTGCCAGTCAGCTTTCGTATGATATTGTTTCTAGCACCCACTTTTTGCTTGATGTTCAGGCAATGCTTCTTGTAGGTTAGAGCACGGTCCAGAGTGACTCCCAAGTATTTGGGTGCGCTGCAATGCTCCAGTGGGATTCCTTCCCAATGTGAATAGATCAATAAGTAATAAGTAATAATAATAATAATAATTATAATAATAATAAAAACTTTATTTATACCCTGCCACCATCTCCCCAATGGGAACTCGGAGAGGCTTACATGGGGCCAAGCATGGACAACATGTTACAGCAAAATAAAACCAGAATATAAACAACAAGCAACATAATCAAAATTACATAGAAAAAGAAAGTATAAACACAGTAACAAAATAACACTCCAATAAACACAATCACGATAACAGTGGGCAGGCCACATGTACAGGATAAAATGATTAAAAACACTAATGAGATAAAAATAGCAGGTTATTTGCAGGGAGTACCGCTCGGTGGGAAGGTAATGGCGCTCCATGCAGTCATGCTGGCCACATGACCTTGGAAGTGTCTACAGACAACGCCAGCTCTTCGGCTTAGACATGGAGATGAGCACCACCCCTCAGAGTCAGACTCGACTAGACTTAATGTCAAGGGAAAACCTTTCTCCTTACTAAATACACAAAATCCAATTGGCCACATGGGTCACTGAAATAGTGACAGCTCTGCTTTCTGATGGATCGGCATACTCAAACTTTGTTTCATATACAAAAGTATTAAAACTATGTTTATAAAGTGAACATGGAACATGAAAGACTTGAGACCCATCTCCAAGATATGTCATTGCGTACATATATGTGAATTAAAAAAAAAATCCTATCATTCAATGCACACCTGGTGCTGAGCATTGGGAATCAGGGATGCTCAGTTTGTGCCTAGAAATGCAAATACAGCTTGGAAAGATTACTTTTCCCTAATTTGCAGTTTCGAGTTGTAACCTGGGAAAAGCCATCTCTCTAAGCACTATAGACATGGATTCCAATCCTATTATTTAGTATCAACTAGAGTAGACTTGGAGCCCCCGGTGGCACAGTCGGTTAAAGCGCTGAACTGCTGAGCTTGTTGACCAAAAGGTCACAGGTTCAAATCCGGGGAGCGGCAGGAGCTTCCGCTGTCAGCCCCAGCTTCTGCCAACCTAGCAGTTCAAAAACATGCAAATGTGAGTAGGTCAATAGAATCATAGAGTTGGAAGAGACCTCAGGGGCCATCCAGTCCAACCCCCTGTCTAGAAGCAGGAATATTGCATTCAAATAACCCCTGACAGATGGCCATCCAGCCTCTGTTTAAAAGCTTCCAAAGAAGGAGCCTCCACCACACTCCGGGGCAGAGAGTTCCACTGCTGAACGGCTCTCACAGTCAGGAAGTTCTTCCTAATGTTCAGGTGGAATCTCCTTTCCATCAATAGGTACCGCTCCGGCGCTCCATGCAGTCATGCCGGCCACATGACCTTGGAGGAGTCTACAGACAATGCCAGCTCTTTGGCTTAGAAGTGGAGATGAGCACCACACCCCAGATTCAGACATGACTGACTTCACGTCAGGGGAAAACCTTTACCTTACTAGAGTAGACTTGTCAAATCAGAATTTCTGAGTGGTGAGTCAACACGTAACTCAATCAAGGAGACTGACTTATGTGTTGACTCACACTCAGAAATTCTTGCCTGCTCACAACAGGATCTTGATCATGGTTTGAGACTTTAATGTCCAAATGCTTCTTTTTTTAAAATAAAATTTCCAGTCCTCATGGGGGAGCCACGTTTTTGAGGCTTTAGAATCACCATCCTCATCTTCCTTGTCATGACCTGGGTTGTTTTCTTTTTCTTCTGTTTCTGCAGCTGCAGTTAAACTATCTGGGTAACTACGTCCCCAATGCCTGGACATACGAGGGAGGCTGTGGGACGTGCGACCAAGGCCTTCTGGATCTGTCAGACTTGCCGGTGAGTTGATGGATAAGAATGGATGTGACATTACAGCCAACCCTCCACATTCACTGGGGTTAGAGGCAGAGGAGCCCCACAAAGGGGAAAAATCACAAATAAAGTAATTTCTGTATTTTTAACCTGAGAGAAGCCCCCGGTGGTGCAGTGGGTTAAATCCTTGTGCCAGCAGGACTGAAGGTTCAGAGGTTCGAATCCAGGGAGAGTGTGGATGAGCTCCCTTTGTTAGCTCCAGCTCCCCATGTGGGGAGATGAGAGAATCCTCCCACAAGGATGATAAAACAGCAAAGATCCAGGTGTCTCCTGGGCAACATCCTTGCAGACAGCCAATTCTCTCACACCAGAAGCGACTTGCAGTTTCTTAAGACACTCCTAACATAGGGAAAAATAACCATGAGAGAACACCTCTTTCGGAATTTCTGGTTCTTCCAATACAAATCTATAGTCAACTTCCACTGCAAGGTGACCATAGAATCATATTTAGATTCCTAAAGAGATGTTTTCCCTAGAAATCTCTAGATCTTATAGCATGACAGGAAGAAGTTGACTTGAGGACCCAGAGATTCCTAGAAAGAACCCTTTGAATCATATCTCCGAATAATCAGATTTTCAAAAGACAAAACTGCCAATGTGGAGACACAATTTTACAGTCGACCGTTCACATTTATGGATTTGATTGGTCACAGATTTAATATGCTCTCCCTCGGAATCTCTAGGTCCTATAGCATGACTCTGTGGTCAACCTCCGCCCTAGATTTGCGCTGAAAGACGTAGAATTTTCTACAGCAAATATTTCTCTATTTATTTATTTTATTTCCAGTATTTCTATCCCGTCCTTCTCAACTTCCGGAGAGGGACTCAGGGTGGCTTACATCGGCAGCGATTCAATGCCACAACAAATAAACAATTATAACAACAATTTAAATACCATAAATAAAACAATTGAATTAAAAACAATATTTAAACAAGATTGTCAAATCATATAGTCATTTCCGGTCTGGATCATCATTCAAAGTGCTGTCATGCCTGCTGCCCAAAGGCCTGGTCAGCATTGCATATTGACCAATGGGATGAAAGCCTACGGAATATTTGAATTGCTTTACCTTGAAATGTATGGTGCAGTCTTTCATTCCTCAGGTCTAACTAAGTCCATTGTATAATGAGCAATCTTGGCTGCCACCGGTGGACTGTTTGAACCTTCTGAACAGTCTTCAAAGGCAACCCCAGGTAGAGTGCATTGCAGTAGTCTATTCGGGATGTAACCAGAGCATGGACTACCATGGCCAAATCTGACTTCCCAAGGCACGGGAAGTTTTTTCCTGAAAGAAAGGAGGGAAGAAGTCAACTTGATCTTGCTAGGGAGCGAATTCCACAGGCGCGGGGCTACCGCCGAGAAGGCCCTGTACCTCGTCCCCTCCAAATGCATTTGCGAAACTGGTGGGGTTGAGAGCAGGGTCTCCCTGGACAATCTTAGGCTGCGAGGCAGGACATAGAGGGAGATGTGTTCGGACAGGTAGGCTGGCCCTACCTGTCCATTTAAAAGGCATTTTAAAGTCCTCCAACATGATTCTGTGGCCAAACGTTAACATAGAGTTGTGTCAGAGGACCTAAAGATTCCAAGAAAGATGTTTTCGCTGGATTTTTTAAATTTGTGGGGTCCCCACTTTTGTAGGGGTTCGTCATCCCTAATCCCAGCAACTTTGGAAAGCTGATTATTATAAGGAAGCAGATACAAAAAGGTTTTGATAGAGAGGAGTGAGTCCTATGTGTATTTTGGAGATTGGGGGGAATCAAGACGTACATTTTGGGAGGAATGTGCTTATTTCTTTCCATGTGCTTTCTTTTGTACAGGATGAATCATACCCCCGTGTGCTGGTGGGGGTGTTCATAGAGCAGCCCACCCCCTTTTTCCCTCAGTTTCTCCAGCGCCTCCTGAGTTTCGATTATCCTTACTCACATCTCAACCTCTTCATCCACAATCGCGTAAGTTGTACTCCACATTAAAAGGAAGGATTCAACTATGCCTAGTAGATACATGGCTCCAATGCAATTACTGTGGCACTGGGACTATCTCAAATATTTGGGTTTTATGAGCCTAATTAGGGGGGGGATACAAAAGGATCAGCATTGCATATTGACCAATGGGGTGAAAGCCTATGGAATATTTGAATTGCTTTACCCAGAAATGTATGGTGCAGTCTTTCATTCCTCAGGTCTAACAAAGTCCATTGTATGATGAGCAACTTTGTTATCTTAAGTCAAAGTAAGGAAGGTCTGCATTTATTTATGTATTTATGACATTTCCACCCTGCCTTTCTCAACCCCGGAGGGGACATGAGGCAACTTTACACATAGGCAACTATTCGATGCCTTAAAACAATGTACAATTAAAATGAACATTTAAAATAGAATTAAAAATATATTAAAACATTTAAAACAATACATTTGAAATTAGTCACGTGATCCACAAGCGTCATCCAGCCATTCCTATGGTCATTGCACATAATTTCATATCTATCTATTGCCCAAGTACTCCAAAGGCTTAGTCACAAAGACACGTTTTTACTCTCTTACAAAAGGTCAAAAGGGAGGGGGCTGATCTAATATCCCTGGGGAAGGAATGCCACAGTTGAGGAGCCACCACTGAGAAGGCCCTGTCTCTCGTCCCCGCCAATCGTGCTTTTGAAGAAGGCAGAACTGAGAGCAAGACCTCCCCAGACAATCTTAAACTTCAAGATGGTTCACAGAGGGAGATAGGTTCAGACAAGTGAACTAGGCCAGAACCCTTTAGGGCTTTATAGGCTAAAGCCAGCACTTTGAATTGTGCTCGGTAACAGACTGGCAGCCAGTGGAGCTGGCTGTATGCTGGGAGGTGTATGCTCCCTTTCCGATGCTCCGGTGAGCAATCTGGCTGCCACCCATTGGACCGTTGGAAGCTTCTGAACAGTCTTCAAAGGCAACCCCAAGTAGAGCACATTGTAGTTGACAATTTGGGATAACCAGAGTGTGGACTACTGTGGCCAAGTCTGACTTCCCAAGGTATGGGCGCAACTGACACACAAGTTTCAATTGTGCTCCCCTGCCATTACTTAAACCTGGGGTTCCAGGCTCAGCGATGAGTCCAGGGTCACATCCAAGCTGTGAATCTGCATCTTCAGGGGACGTGTAATCCCGTCCAACACCAGCTGTAACCCTATGCCCTGTTCGGCCTTGCAACTGACCAGGAGTACCTCTGTCTTGTCTGGATTCAATTTCAATTTGTTTGTCCTCATCCAGACCATCACAGCTGCCAAGCATTGGTTCATATATTGCTCTCCTGTGTTGTATTATAGGCCCTTTTATATGGGAATATGGTAGCCCAAAAGACAGAGAAAAATGATCCCTTGCTTACCAGTTGACGTTAATTGGTCTTGACTTTATGTGCCAGGTGGTGTATCATGAGCAGCATATCCAAGCGGAATGGGAACAGCTCCGTGAAGCCTTTGACACCGTCAAACTAGTGGGACCAGAGGAAGACATAAGTGAGGGCGAAGCCAGAGATATAGCCATGTAAGTCAAAAGGTTGGAATGTAATCTGGCGAGGGCAGCTAATTCGGGGAAACACTGGACAGATAACCAATTCCCTCTCTATGCCTCTTTTGCTATTTAATAGTGCTAGCTAACCCTACAGTAGTAGTATCAAACTTGTGGCCTCCATGTGTTTTGGACTTCAGCTCCCAGAGTTCCTGGCTATAGGACAAGCTGGCTAGGGATTCTGGGAACTGGAAGCCTAAACATCTGGAGGGCCATAAATTTGACATTTCCGCCCTTCAGAATTGATAAAAGTTGCAAATGTCTTCAATCTGGCAACCCTAGGATGGCTGTGGGTTGATTGGATAGGCATCCGGGTAATCTCAACATTGGCCTTAGGCTAAACACAACAAATGCTCCAGCTTGAGCTTGAATGACTTGAAAAAAATTGCACCTCTTGAAAGTAAAAAATAGTCAAGTGCGAAAGTAGATATTTTACAACAATCATGGCTAGGCCATTCCCTGTTGTCTGCGTAGTTGCCCCTCCACATATGTGGGTTTCATTTTTCTAGATTTGATTATTTGCAGATTTGATTACCCGTATATACTTGAGTATAAGCCAACCCGAATATAAGCTGAGACACCTAATTTTGCCACAAAAAGCGGGGAAACCGTATTGACTCGAGTATAAGCCGAGGGTAGGAAATACAGCAGCTACTGGTCAGTTTCAAAATAAAAATAGATGCCAATAAAATTACATTAATTGAGGCATCAGTAGGTTAAATGTTTTTGAATATTTACATAAAACAGTAATTTAAGATAAGACTGTAAATGTGTTTACATTACCTTCCAAAAATAATAGAGTAAAATAATAAATGTAATAAAAATAATAATACAAGAGTAAAATAATGGAAATGTAATATTAATAGCAATAAGGGAGTAAAATGTAATAATAACAAAAATAATAAATGTAATAATAACAACAATAATAGAGTAAATAACACTAGAGTAAAATAATAAATGTAATAATAACAAAAGTAATAGAGTAAATAATAAATGCAATAATAAATGGAGCAAAACGATAAATGTAATGACAATAATAAATAGAGAAAAATAAATGTAATAATAATAATAATAGAGTAAAATAATAAATGTATAATAATAATAGAATAAAATAATGTAAATGTAATAATAATAGTAAGTAGAGTAAAATAATAAATGTAATAAAAAATAAAAATAATAACCCATTAAAATAATAAATAACTTTGACTTGAGTATAAGCCGGAGGGGGGGGGGGGTGGTTCAGCCTAAAAAAAGCTGAAAGATTGGTTTATACTTGAGTATATATGGTAATATGGTCTCTATGAATCTCTGGGCCCTCAGGATGTTTTCTTCTTCGTGGTTTTTCCACTTTCATTAAGGTCCACAGAAAGTTGACTATAGAGTTGTGCTGGAGAACCTACAAATGCCTTAGAGCAGTGGTTCACAACCTGTGGATCACCAGATGTTTTGGCCTTCCACTCCCAGAAATCCTAACAGCTGGTAAACTGACTGGGTTTTCTGGGAGTTGTAGGCCAAAACACCTGGCGACCCACAGGTTGAGAACCACTGCCTTAGAGGTGTGTTCTCTTTAGGAATCACTATATCATGCAGCACAATTTGACCGTGATTGTACTGGAGGACCTAGAGCAGTGGTTCTCAACCTGTGAGTCCCCAGGTGTGTTAGCCTACAACTCCCAGAAATCCCAGCCAGTTTACCAGCTGTTAGGATTTCAGGGAGTTGAAGGCCAAAACTTCTGGGGACCCAAAAGTTGAGAACCACTGACCTAGAGATTCCTAGAGAAAACATGTCAATCAGATCCACAAATCTGCAAAAGTGAAACCTAACAATGTGGAAGCAGAGTATAAAATCCTGATGAGCCATTCTATGTTACACCATTGGGTTGGGTCTATTTCATCCTAAGATTTAATTCCTTTCTCCCTTACCTTTCTGCAATAGGGATCTTTGCCGGCAGGACACCACCTGTGACTATTACTTCAGCCTTGATGCTGACGTGGTTGTGACGAATCCCGAAATCCTACAGATCCTTATCCAGGAGAACAAGTGAGAAACATTCCTTGCTTTTTCTTCCCCCTGTTTACAGAGCAAGACAGGATCGTAGGAGTCTCTCCCTCTTAACCAACCTGCCTTTTCCTTTCCCACCTTCCCTGGTTTCCCCAAACTCCAGGAAAGTGATTGCTCCCATGATGTCCCGGCATGGCAAGCTTTGGTCTAACTTCTGGGGTGCTCTGAGCCCCGATGAATATTACGCCCGTTCAGAGGACTATGTGGAGTTGGTCCAGGGCAAGAGAATGTGAGTTGTGTTGGTGAGAAAAAGAGCTTTGGCTTTGGATGCAGGTTCATATGTGGGCGGAAAAGCATACATAGAGCTAAGAAAAGTTCCTTTGTTGGGGTAGCGGGCACAGTGTACCCCTAAGTGGACTTCTGGCAATATCTATTTCATTTTTGCTTTTTCTGTAGTGAATAAAGTCTCCTATGAGTCTTAGGGACAAATGCCGCAGTTTAGTACTTTTCCATGTTTTTGCATTAACTTACTTTCCCCTATTAAAAAACTCTCCTCCAGCTTAATTACCAGCAATAAAACCTTTTAATTTGTTGTCAAAGGCTTTCATGGTCAGAATCACTGGGTTGCTGTGAGTTTTCCGGGTTGTATGGCCATATTCCATACACAAGATGACACCGATGATTATATGCTTTAACGGTTTTTATTTATGTTTTATATTGTTTTTAATGGCACTTTTATGAATGCTTGACATTGAATTGTGCCAATCTGTAGCCCGCCTTGAGTCACCGTATGACTGAGAAAGGCGGGCTAAATAAATATCATAAATAAATAAATATTCCAGAAGCATTCTCTCCTGACATTTTGCCCACATCTATGGCAGTCATCCTCAAAGGCTGTAAGTCTGGAAATGAGGCAAGTGAGGTTTATATATCTGGAATGTCAAGGGTGGGGGAAAGGGTGAGGCATTCTCTCCTGATGTTTCGCCCACATCTATGGCAAGCATCCCCAGATGTTGTGAGGTCTGTTGAAACTAGGCGAGGTTTTTATATCTGTGGAATGTCCAGGGTAGGAGAAAGAACTCTTGTCTGTTGGAGGCAAGTGTGAGTGTTGCAATTGGCCACCTTGATTAGCATTGAATGGCCTAACCAAGGTGGCCAATTGCAACATCCACACTTGCCTCAATCAGGCAAGACTTCTTTCTCCCACCCTGGACATTCCACAGATGGATAAAACCTCACTTGCTTAGTTTCCTACAGACCCTCCATCCTCTGAGGATGCCTGCCATAGATGTGGGCAAAACGTCAGGAGAGAATGGTGCCTGTAGTCCAATTCCATGATCAAGTTCTGATGGAAGTTCTGCCCACTACTGGAATGGGGTCCTTGAAAACAGTTCTAAAATAATAATGATGGTGATGATGATGATGATGATGATGGTGGTGGTGGTGGTGATGATGATGATGATGATGATGATAGGAATGACAGCAATAACCCACTTTTCTCCCAGAGTTTTGACCCATGGATTATGAGATAGTCCCCATCCCTTGCCCAGTGGACTACTGCTTTTCACATTCATAACACTCCTCTCCTTTTTCACCATGGCAGCGGGATGTGGAACGTCCCCTACATCTCCCAGGCTTATTTACTGCGTGGGGAGACCTTACGTCAAGAGCTGCCCCAGCGCAATATCTTCACTTTGGACGACACAGATCCGGATATGGCTTTTTGCAAGAGCGTGAGGGAGAAGGTGAGAGACCTTTGGCCTTTCTAGAAGACACCGTTAAACCAGACTTGTGTGTGCTTTGGAAGATGTGTTTAGCATCTCTCAAGGGCTATGCAAATTGTTCTTTTGTTTACACAGCATTCTACTTTTCATAGATGACAAAGATCCAATGAAGACCTGGCCCATTGGGGGTTTTGCGAGGAATAAAATAAAACCGGACCCATCATTCATTCAGATTGATCACCTTAAGGACTAGAAACCAATGCTGCTTTTTTTTTCTTTTTTTTCTTTCTCTCACTTCTGGTGTGAGAGAATTAGCCATCTGCAAAGACATTGCCCAGGGAACGCCAGGATGTTTTACCATCCTGTGGGAAGCTTCTTGCATGTCCCCGCACGAGAAGCTGGAGCTGACAGATGGGATCTCACCCCGCTCCCCGGATTCGAACCACTAACCTTTTGGTCAGCAGTCCTGGCGGCACAAGGGTTTAACCCATTGCGCCACCAAGGGTTCCACCAATAATAAATAAATAAATAGTAAACTTTATTTGTGCCCCGCCACCATCTCCCCGATGGGGACTCGGTGCGGCTTACATGAGCCCAAGCCCAAAACAACAATTACATAAAATAAATCTGAAAACGCAAATAATGAACAATAATAACGCAATTACATAAAACAAATGAAAACATAGCGATATAAGATTACAGTAAGCACAATCACAACACCAATGCTGCTCAAAGTAGTGGTCTGTAGACCAGTTCCAGTTAGTGATCTATATCTGATAACTTAGCATGCTTTAAATTATTTTAAAGGGCTGGTTGGCCATCTTTCAGGAGTGCTTTGATTGTGTATCGCTGCATTGTAGAATGGGATTAGACTGGATGGCTCTTGTCTCTTCCAAATCTGTGGGCTCACGTACACAGTAGAGTGAATGCAGTTTGAGATCACTTTAACTGCCATGGTTCAATGGTATGGGTTCTTGGGAGTTGTAGTTTCCCAAGGTCTCTAAGGGCCCTTCCACACGTCATATAATCCAGAATATCAAGGCAGATAATCCACAATATCTGCTTTGTACTGGGTTATCTGAGTCCACACTGCCATATATTCCAGTTCACTGTGGATTTTATACAGCTGTGTGGAAGGGGCCTTAGTGCTGGCGCCTCACTAGACTAGACAAGGTGATTGAGAGGGCAGCAGCGGAGCAGTTGCAGCAATTCCTAGATGACACAGCCAAACTAGATCCCTTCCAGTCCGGCTTCCGTGCACGGGACAGAGACTGTGCTGGTCTCCATCACGGATCACCTTCGATGCCAGCTTGACCGGGGTGGGTCAGCGCTGCTTGTGTTATTGGATCTCACAGCAGCATTTGACACAGTTGACCACAATCTTTTGACCCACCGCCTTGCTGTTGCTGGAGTCAGGGGGACAGCTTTAAACTGACTGTCCTCCTTTCTTCACAACCGTGGACAGCGAGTGGAGAGGGGAGGCCTGGTCTCTGAGAGGTCCCCTCTATCTTGTGGGGTTCCTCAGGGGGCCATTCTCTCCCCTCTGTTGCTTAACATCTATATGCTCAGCACTTGCTCAGCTGATTCGAGGTTTTGGGCTTGAGTGTTACCAGTACGCCGATGACACTCAGCTGGTGCTGAAGATGGAAGGCCGACCGGACTCTGTACCCGATTGTTTCCATCAGTGCCTCGAGGCCATGACTGGATGGCTGCGTGCCAGCAGGTTGAGGGTGAATCCAGCAAAGACGGAGATCCTATGGCTGGGTCGACCGGGCAGTGGGGCTATCTAGCTGCCTACCCTGGATGGCGAGGCGCTACGCCCGTCATCATTGGTAAAGAGTCTGGGAGTCCTTTTGGACCCTCTGCTGACGATGGAGGCCCAGGTCTCCGCCATTAGCAGAACCGCCTTTTTCATCTGCGGCAGGCTGGCCCCCTACCTGTCCAGGGATGACCTAGCTACGGTGACCCAGGCCACGGTCATCTCAAGACTGGACTACTGTAACGCCCTCTACATTGGCCTTCCTCTGTCGGTGATCCGGAAGCTCAAGTTGGTACAAAATGCAGCTGCTCGGCTTCTTGCGGGAATTCCTATGAGATGCCACATAACCCCAATCTTACTACAGCTGCATTGGTTACCAATTGAGCACCGGATCACTTTCAAAGTGATGGTACTCACCTTTAAGGCCTTGCATGGTCTGGGGCCGATGTACCTGAGGGACCGCCTCACCCCCTACCAACCCCAGAGATCCCTCCGTTCTGAGGACCAAGATCTATTGGAAGTCCCCAGTGTCAAGACCTTGCATCTAACAGCAACCAGACGCAGAGCCTTCACAGTAGTGGCACCATCACTCTGGAATACTCTGCCACCTGAAGTCCGTGCCTTGCGGGACTTACCAGCTTTCCGCAGGGCATGTAAGACATACCTGTTTCGACAGGCTTTTAATGTTTGATATTGCTGTTTTTAAATTGTTTTAAATTGCTTTTAAATTTTGTTAGATTTTAGCCATTCTTGTAAGCCGCTCTGAGCCCCAGGGGAGTGGCGGCATATAAGTTCAAATAATAAATAAATAAATAAATAATTCCCAGGATTCCATAACATTCAGCCATGGCGGTTGATGTGGGCTTGAACGGTATTAATTATGGGTTGTTGTAGGTTTTTCCGGGCTATATGGCCATGTTCTGGAGGCAATTTTTCTCCTGATGTTTCGCCTGCATCTATGGCAAGCATCCTCAGAGGTAGTGAGGTCTGTTGGAAGTAGGAAAAATGGGTTTATATATCTGTGGAATGACCAGGGTTCTCAACCTGGGTTCCCCAAATGTTTTGGTCTTCAACTCTCAGAAATCCTAACAGCTGGTAAACTGGCTGGGATTTCTGGGAGTTGTAGTCCAAAACACCTGGGAACCCATAGGTTGAGAACCACTGAATTATACAGTGTAGGTGTTCTTCTGTTTCCATGATTCTTTGAAAGTTAAGCTTCCCTCGAATTTGCTAATTATGCGCAGCCATACCTGAAATTACTGAGTGATGGTTTTGTTTTGTTTTCTTTTCTTTTTGGGAAGCAGTTCCAGGTCCGGACAATGTGTGTCTGGATTTATTGGGCACAGAATCAGTATGAAGCTTATCCTCTTTTTCCACCCAAATGTAAACACCCCTCTTTCCTCTTTCAGGGCATCTTCCTTCACATCAGTAACCGGGACGAGTTTGGGCACCTTCTTTCCACTTCCAGATACAACACATCCCGCCTGCATCCTGACCTTTGGCAGATCTCGGAGAACCCTCTGGTGAGTGAGTGGCATCCCCAAATACACGGCAGCTGTGAGATCCTGCATTTAACCTTTTGGAGGTTTTTTGCTCTCATCTCTGATCACTAATAGCTAGGAAATATTTTGAGCTAAGATTGCATACTGGGGGTGCATCTACACTGCAGGATTAATGCAATTGGACCCCACTTTAACTGCCATGATTCAGAACTATGGGACCATGAGAATGATCACTTAGTGAGATCCAGCACTTTTTCGCAGAGAGGACTTTAAAACCTTCTGAAACTTCAGCTCCCAAGATTCCGTAGCATTGACCCATGGAAGTTAAAGTGGGATGAAACTGCATTAATTATGGGAAGGTTTGCATAGAACAGGAGTACTGGTTTGCAAAGCTGGAAGGCATTTTTTTGCAAGCCAGAAAGTAAAGGTAAAGTTGATATTTTAAGTTTGTTGTTGTTTATTTGTTCAGTCGCTTCCAACTCTCTGTGACCTCATGGATAAGCCCATGCCAGAGCTCTCTATTGGCTGTCACCACGCCCAGCTCCTTCAAGGTCAAGCCAGACACTTCAAGGATACCATCCATCCATCTTTCCCTTGGTCGGCCCCTCTTCCTTTTTCCTTCCATTTTTCCCAAGCATAATTGTCTTTAATAAGCTTTCCAACTGTGGGGGTTGGTGCTCATCTCCATTTCTAAGACCAAAAGCTGGCATTGTCCATAGACACCTCCAAGGTCATGTGGCTGGCATGACTGCACGAAGTGCCCTTACCTTCCCGCAGAAGCAGTGCCTATTGATCTACTCACATTTGCATGTTTTTAAACTGCTAGGTTGGCGGAAGCTGGGGCTAACAGCAGGAGCTCACCCTGTTCCCCAGATTTGAACTGCCGACCTTTTGGCCAGCAAGTTCAGCAGCTCAGTGGTTTAACTCACTGCGCCCCCGAGGGCGAGAAATTACACAGCAGTAAATATACTGCAATCCTCACCTAGCTCTTCATGTCAACTTTGTCACATTCACACATGCTTTGTTTCAACCTTGGATGATCTCAAATTGTTTGATCTACACCATTTGCTATCTCTCCATCCATGAGGACTAGAAACCTGCTCAACCCAAAAGCCAAAATAGCTTTTCTGGCTGCATTTATACTGTCAAATTAATGCTGTTTGACACCACTTTAACAGCTATAACTCAATGCTATGGTATTGTTAGGAGTTGTAGTTTGGTGAGGCACCAGCACTCTTTGGTAGAGAAGGCTAATTACCTTTTTAAACTACAACTACCAGGCTTCCATAACATTCAGCCATGCCAGTTACAGACCTCACAAACTCTGAGGATGCCTGCCATCAACGTGGGTGAAATGTCAGGAGAGAATGCTTCTGGAACATGGCCAAACAGCCCGGAAAACTCACAGCAACCCAGTTACAGTGTTATCAAACTGTATTATTTGCACACTGCAGATGCACCCCCTCTTGATCACTCACTCTCAACATCTCTCAATTTTTCTTTCTCTTTTTTTTCAGGACTGGCAGGACAAGTACATCCATGAGAACTACTCCCGGGTGTTGGAAGGGGAATATCATGAGCAGGTAGAAGGATCCTTTGGCATCCCAGCCGTCTGTCCTCACTTGTGGCCTTTTTTACAGACCCTCACTGTCCCATTCCTCCTTTTCCAGCCCTGTCCTGATGTTTACTGGTTCCCAGTGTTCACTGATCAGATGTGTGATGAGCTTGTAGAAGAGGCTGAAAATTTTGGTCAGTGGTCTGGAGGGAAGCACGAGGTAAGCGCACAATGCCACACAAGGGGGCTGTGGCCCCACGAGCCACATTCTACACATCCCTAATATAGATAGATTGGTAAGGGATAGATTAGCGGATCCGAGAGCATCCCCACCTCACCTGATTGTAATTTGGACGTATTTCTTCTAGGATACCCGGCTGGCTGGTGGCTATGAGAACGTCCCTACCGTGGACATCCATATGAACCAAATTGGTTTTGAGAAGGAGTGGCTGCAGTTCCTGAGAGACTACATTGCTCCCGTCACGGAGAAGCTCTACCCAGGCTACTACACCAAGGTATCTGCGCCCAAGAGGTGGGCAAGCGGCTGCCTCTGTGATCAAAGTATCATGGCTGTGGAAAGTTGGGAGCAAAATGGGGAAATTAATAGTATTCCCACTGTGAAATTTATAGGGAGACCAAGGGCCATGTTCACATTATGCAATTATAGCATTTGTTGTTGTTTATTCATTCATTCGCTTCCAACTCTTCATGACCTCATGGACCAGCCCACACAGAGCTCCCTGTCGACCACCATCCCCAGCTCCTTCAGAGTCAAGCCAGTCACTTCAAAGTTGGAGAGGCCCTGCTCTCGCTCCCGCCCCCTTCGCAGGCGCGATTGGTGGGGATGAGGGAGAGGGCCTTCTCTGTGGTGGCCCCCCTGACTCTGGAACTCACTCCCCAAGAATATCAGACAAGCCCACACATTGGCAGTCTTTAGGAGGAGCCTGAAAACGTGGCTTCCCTGAATAAGTAAACAATGCCCTGCTCTGATTAATTCTCTGCAGTTGTCCTCAGAAGCACTTTACTACCCGCTGGGTTGGTCTCCCTACATTATCTTTTAAAGCCCTCCTGCTTAGATACATCCTACCTCTGTACACGCCCAGTGTTTATTTTAAAAAAATTAATTTATCACATCTGGCCCGGCCATAAGGTTTTAAATTCTCTGTGTTTTTGTTTATATGCAATTATATTAATTGTACTGTCTTATTTGCTTGCTGTTTTGTTTTTACTGATGTGTTGTTGGGCATGGCCTCATGTAAGCCGACCCGAGTCCCCTTGGGGAGATGGTGGTGGGGTATAAATAAAGTTTTATTATTGTTGTTGTTGTTATATTGTTATTATTGTTATTGTTGTTGTTGTTGTTGTTATTGTTATTGTTATTATTATTATTATTATTATTATTATTACCCATCTTACCCTTGGTCGGCCCCTTTTCCCTTTTCCTTCCATTTCCCCCAGCATCGTTGTCTTCTCTAAGCTTTCCTTTCTTCTCATGATGTGTCCAAAGTACTTCATCTTCGCCTCTAATATCTTTCCTTCCAATGAGCAATCAGTTTTATTATTGTTGATGATGTTGTTGTTGTTGTTGTTGTTATTATTATTATTATTATTATTATTATCCATCTTGCCCTTGGTCGGCCCCTCTTCCTTTTTCCTTCCATTTTCCCCAGCATCATTGACTTCTCTAGGCTTTGCTGTCTCCTCATGATGTGTCCAAAGTACTTCATCTTGGCCTCTAATATCCTTCCTTCCAATGAGCAGTCGGGCTTTATTTCCTGGAGGATGGACTGGTTGGATCTTCTCGCGGTCCAAGGCACTCTCAGAATTTTCCTCCAACTCCGCAGTTCAAAAGCGTCTCCCTTCCTTCGCTCATACTATTTATTTTATTTTGAAATTTCCCAGTAGCTGCTGCATTTCCCACCTTTGATTTATACTGTTGGAGGGCCGGATTATAATTCGGGAAAAAATGAGTGAATTCCTGTGCACACCGCACATTTAAAAACAATTTGTTGTTCATTTGTTCAGTCGTTTCCAACTCTTTGTGACTTCATGGACCAGTCCACGCCAGAGCTCCCTGTTGGTCGTCACCACCCCCAGCTCCTTCAAGGTCAATCCAGTCACTTCAAGGATATCATCCATCCATCTTGCCCTTGTTCAGCCCCTCTTCCTTTTTCCTTCCATTTCCCCCAGCATCATTGACTTCTCTAAGCTTTCCTTTCTTCTCATCTTGGCCTCTACTATTCTTCCCTCCAATGAGCAGTCAGGCTTTATTTCTTGAAATATGGACTGGTTGGATCTTCTCGCTGTCCAGGGCACTCTCAGAACTTTCCTCCAGCACAATACAATAATTAAAATGAAGAACAATTTTAGCAAATATAAACTTATTAGTATTTCAATGGGAAGTGTGGCTCTGCTTTTGGTTGATGAGATAGGATTGTTATTATTGTTGTGTGCTCTCAAGACATTTCAGATTTAGGTTGACCTTGAGTGAGGGCCGGGCAAATGACCTTGGGGGTTGTATTTGGCCCTCGGGCCTTAGTTTGAGGACCCCTGATGTAGACACTATGTCCTATTATTATAGCCTAGAATCATGTTTGCTTTTGAAGCTATTGCATCACACTGCTGACTCATGTTCAGCTTGTCGCCTGCTAAGACTCTTAGATCCCTTTTACATGTTCTGTTTTCAAGCCAAGTATCAGCTATTTTTTGTAGTCCAAAAGAAGACAGTTATTCCCCAGTCTTGGCTATATGCATATGGATGCAGTTTTCCTCCTCCTCATCACAAGGTCTGTTTGTCGTCCATTTCTCAGGCTCGGGCAATCATGAACTTCATGGTCCGGTACCGTCCAGATGAGCAGCCTTCACTCCGGCCCCACCATGATTCCTCCACTTTCACTATCAACGTCGCTCTCAATCACAAAGGAATCGACTATGAGGTGAGAGTCCCTTAGAGCAAGCATGGGCAAACTTCGGCCCTCCAGGTGTTTTGGATTTCAACTCCCACAACTCCTAGCAGCCTCAGGCCCCTTTTCCCCCAGCTGAGGCTGCTAACAAGCTTCAGCCTACTCACTCTCCTCAGGACAACACTATCTTTGGTGCATTGACTCTTAACAGGCTTTGGCCTGCTCACTCTCCTCAGGACGACACTAGCTTTGGCGCATTGACTCTAACAGGCTTCGGCCTACTCACTCTCCTCAGGACAACACTAGCTTTGGCGCATTGACTCTAACAGGCTTCGGCCTACTCACTCTCCTCAGGATGACACTAGCTTTGGCGCATTGACTCTAACAGGCTTCGGCCTACTCACTCTCCTCAGGACGACACTAGCTTTGGCGCATTGACTCTAACAGGCTTCGGCCTACTCACTCTCCTCAGGACGACACTAGCTTTGGCGCATTGACTCTAACAGGCTTCGGCCTACTCACTCTCCTCAGGACGACACTAGCTTTGGCGCATTGACTCTAACAGGCTTCGGCCTACTCACTCTCCTCAGGACGACACTAGCTTTGGCGCATTGACTCTAACAGGCTTCGGCCTACTCACTCTCCTCAGGACGACACTAGCTTTGGCGCATTGACTCTAACAGGCTTCTGCCTACTCACTCTCCTCAGGACGACACTAGCTTTGGCACATTGACTCTAACAGGCTTCGGCCTACTCACTCTCCTCAGGACGACACTAGCTTTGGCACATTGACTCTAACAGGCTTCTGCCTACTCACTCTCCTCAGGACGACACTAGCTTTGGCACATTGACTCTAACAGGCTTCGGCCTACTCACTCTCCTCAGGACGACACTAGCTTTGGCACATTGACTCTAACAGGCTTCGGCCTACTCACTCTCCTCAGGACGACACTAGCTTTGGCGCATTGACTCTAACAGGCTTCGGCCTACTCACTCTCCTCAGGACGACACTAGCTTTGGCACATTGACTCTAACAGGCTTCTGCCTACTCACTCTCCTCAGGACGACACTAGCTTTGGCGCATTGACTCTAACAGGCTTCTGCCTACTCACTCTCCTCAGGACGACACTAGCTTTGGCACATTGACTCTAACAGGCTTCGGCCTACTCACTCTCCTCAGGACGACACTAGCTTTGGCACATTGACACTAACAGGCTTCGGGCTACTCACTCTCCTCAGGACGACACTAGCTTTGGCGCATTGACTCTAACAGGCTTCTGCCTACTCACTCTCCTCAGGGCTACACTAGCTTTGACGCATTGACTCTAACAGGCTTCTGCCTACTCACTCTCCTCAGGGCTACACTAGCTTTGGCGCATTGACACTAACAGGCTTCGGGCTACTCACTCTCCTCAGGACGACACTAGCTTTGGCGCATTGACACTAACAGGCTTCGGGCTACTCACTCTCCTCAGGGCGACACTAGCTTTGGCGCATTGACACTAACAGGCTTCGGGCTACTCACTCTCCTCAGGGCGACACTAGCTTTGGCGCATTGACACTAACAGGCTTCGGCCTACTCACTCTCCTCAGGACGACACTAGCTTTGGCGCATTGACACTAACAGGCTTCGGGCTACTCACTCTCCTCAGGACGACACTAGCTTTGGCGCATTGACTCTAACAGGCTTTGGCCTACTCACTCTCCTCAGGACGACACTAGCTTTGGCGCATTGACTCTAACATTTTTACAGTCCGGCCACGGTGCCAGTAATTTACCGCCATGGTTAGAGGATTGCAGCTTGATTGAGTTTTGATTGATTTTTTTTATATATGCATGTGTTCTATTTTATTGTATAAAGTTGTTGTTGTTGTTGTTGTTATTATTATTATTATTATTATTATTATTATTATTATTATTATTATTATTTGAAACACAACAGGATGAGTCCACAGCAGACACTCTGCTGGCTGTTGAGTTGGATCACACGTCAGACACTTCCCAAGTGTCTAGGACTGTGTGATGTATTGGCAAATGATGCGGGCAGATCCTAGTAAGGTGGCCTTTTGCAGCTGGCAATTGTGTTTAAGTGCAGGCCAAGGTCTTTAGGCACTGATGAGCCCACAGAAAACAAGATCACTATACTGGCTGTTGTACTGGATCACACGTTAAACATTTCCTAAGTGTCTAAGACTGTGCGATGTATCGGCAAATAATGTGTGTAGATACGAGTAGGGTGGCCTTTTGCAGCTGACAGATGATAATTTTGTCAGTACCAATAGTATTTAAGTGCAGGCCAAGGTCTTTAGGCACTGCACCCAGGGTGCCGATCACCACTGGGACCACCTTTGCTGGTTTGTGCCAAAATCTTTGCAGTTCAATCTTTAAATCCTCATAATGTGTCAGCTTTTCCAGTTGTTTCTCTTCAATCTTGCTGTCACTTGGGATTGCAAGATCAATATAATAGATTTAATGTTATATGTGTGTGTGTACACACACACATTATTATTATTATTATTATTATTCTCTCCCTGCATCTCCAAATATCATTCTCTTTTCTCAGGGCGGTGGCTGCCGGTTCATCCGCTATAACTGCCAAGTGGAATCTCCCCGCAAAGGCTGGAGCCTGATGCATCCCGGGCGCCTGACCCACTACCATGAAGGCTTGCCCACCACCAGCGGCACCCGCTACATCATGGTCTCCTTTGTGGATCCCTAACCCCAGCTCTTCCGCTCCCCTTGGCCCCATTAGGGGCTGTGGCGGTCAGCACACTGAAAGCCAGAAACTTATGGAGAAGCAGATTGTAGGACGGGGGACAGCAGTCTCTTCTTTTCCTTCCACTGCCATCTGCCTTGGTGCCTTCAAAACAATGGATAGGGGTCGACGACTTCATGCCAGGGTTTGGAAAGATATGGTCCTTGCCTAGCACTGAACTTTGGGTCACTATAAATCCTGGGGTGACTGCTGCTGCCTTGCAGGGTCCATTAATCCTCCATCCATATACTATTGGTGGCAGGGGGAAAATCACACTGTCCTGAAGCAGAGGAAAATCAGCTCGACGGCCTTCTCTCCAAATGTCAACAAAGAGCGTTACCAGCAAAGCTTCCCCTGCCTCAATATGAACTAGCCACAGTGTACTTTATAATATAACTCTAGAGTAGCATCTACAAAAGGCATGGGCAAACTTTGGCCCTCCGGGTGTTTTGGACTCCAACTCTTACAATTCCTAACAGCCAGTAGGCTGTTAGGAATTGTGGGAGTTGGAGTCCAAAACACCCGGAGGGCCAAAGTTTGTCCATGCCTGATCTACAATGCAGAATGTAGTTTGACCCCACTTTTATTACCAATGCTATTGAATCATGGGATTTGTAACTTAAGGCCTTTAGCCTTCTCTGCCTAAGAGTGTTGATGTCTCACCAAACTTCAAATCCCAGACTTCCACAGCACTGAGCTAATTAAAATGGTCTCAAGCTGCATTCACTCCACAGTTCAGTGTTCAAAGGTATTGTGAAGTTATTCTTTTAACCTCAACAGATTTTCCTCTGATAAGGAAGAAGAAACACAAGGAAAACAGGGGAGGGATACCAAAGAAAGGCAGTATACTTTCTGTAAAACATGAATGCAGTTGTATCTCAAAATAATCAGTGTAAGCGGTAGGTAGCGCCATTAATCAGCAAACCAAACCACACTGAATTTCCAAAGAATTGTGGTGTGTACCTTTCATTTTCACTTTTCCTCAGGTCTCTCCAATCCTATTTTGAATTACTGTTTTGAATCGTAATGTAAATATCTGATATGCAGGATGTATTTTCATTTACTGAACCAGATTTGGCACAAATAACCAATATTCCCAATTTGAATACTGGTGGGGTTGAGGGAGAGGACTGTTTTTTGTCATTTTGGAGTTGTAGTTGCTGGGATTTATAGTTCACCTACAATCAAAGAGCATTCTGAACTCCACCAGTGATGGAATTGAATCAAACTTGGCACACAGAACTCCCATGACCCACAGAAAATACTGGAAGGGTTTGGTGGGCAGCTTGGGAGTTGTAGTTCACCTACATCCAGAGAGCATTGTGGACTCAAACAATGAAGGATCTAGACCAAACTTGGCACAAATACTCCATATGCCCAAACATGAACACAGAACTCCCACGACCAACAGAAATTATTGGAAGGGTTTGGTGGGCATTGACCTTGAGTTTTGGAGTTGTAGTTCACCTACATCCAGAGAGCACTGTGGACTCGAACAATGATAGATCTGGACCAAACTTGGCGTGGGTACTCAGTATGCCCAAATGTGGAGTTTTGGGGGAAATAGACCTTGATATTTGGGAGTTGTAGTTGCAAGGATTTATAGTTCACCTACAATCAAACAACAATCTGAACCACACCAAAAATCGAATTGAGCCAAACTTCTGCCAACGATAGAACTGAACCAAACAGAACCCCAGTGACCAACAGGAAATTCTTTGTGTTCTTGTGGTCTTTGGTGCCCCCTCATGACCCCCGGGGGTCCCAAACCTCCAAGTTGAGGAGTGCTGGTTTAGAGAAAAAGGGGGATTCTCTCAGAGTTGAAAATTTGGCAAAACAAGAGAGAACAGTCAGAAAGAAATGAGACAAGTGGTGTATAGCAAGCATGGGCAAACTTCAGCCCTCCAGGTGTTTTGGACTTCAACTCCCACCATTCCTAACATCCTACTGGATGTTAAGAATTGTGGGACTAGAAGTCCAAAACACCTGGAATGCCGAAGTTTGCCCATGCCTGGTGTAGAGGGAAGCGAACTATCATTTGGAGCCTTTGAATGAATTTGAAGTTGGTTATCAGCCATTGGGGGGCATGTAAGAATGGAAATATATACCGGTATTTCATTCATTGGAACAGGGATAAGATCGAACAGGATGTAATGGGAGTTAAGTGCAAGATATAACCAATGTTTACCTGCTCAGACAGCTAAGCTGCAGCAGACGTGCCAAAATGGATGTCCAATTTGTTAAGAATTGTTCTAACTTCGTGATCAAGAAGTTCAACAGATGCTGCGTACAGTCCTCAGTGTAAAGATTATCTCAAGAGCTATTTAAGGTGTGTGTTTTTCGGTCCTATGTGGGGATTATCCTTTGTGGGGGCGTTTCTCTGAATTTGTCAATGCCCTTGAGCCAAGAATGCCTGCAAGGCCGCAGGAGAACCTCCGCAGGCGCTTAATGGCGAGGAGCCTGGCATAACCTTCCATAATCCCAACCTGGTTGATGGGGTGGATGCGCGTCAGCAGCCTTTAACTTATTGGCATTGCTCTTTTAAAGTATGTCAAATAAATGGTACATTTTAAATTGGATGCATGAGATTAATATGTGAGAAAGCAGGGTAAGAAGGGAGGGAGATGTGCTAGATCAGGTCTGGACCATCTTGGACCCTCCAGGTGTTTTGGACTTCAACTCCCACCATTCCTAACAGTCTCGGGCTCCTTCCTTTCCCCCGTCAGCTGCTTAATATGATTCAGCCGAATATGATTCTTCAAATAGTTATGGCTGCATATCTTACAATTGGCTAAGTCTGATGGGGACTGTAGTCCACCAATATCTGCAGAGAGTTAGCATGGTCTAGTGGTTTGAGTAATGGACTCTGGCTCTGGTGAACACGGTTCAAATTCCCATTTGGTCATGGGAACTCGCTAGGTGATGTTAAGTTGGTCACACTATGAATTCCATGGAAGGCAATGACAAACGTCCTCTGAATAATTCCTGCCATGAAAACTCTGTGAGTCCTACCTAAAATGTTGCTTTTGGGGCTGTTTTGCTTTTTAAAACAATCAGAAAGCAACAAACTCATGCACTTTTGGTACAGAGTAAAGCCGGATCCAAGAAATTCAACTTTTGACATTGCAACTAATATTGGGGACTGTTGAGTCTGGCATAATGATTGGAATTGTTATGAGTGTGTTGCTGTGAGTTTTCTGGGCTGTGTGGCCATGTCCCAGAAGCATTCCCTCCTGAAATTTTCCCCAGAGATTGTGAAGTCTGTTGGAAACTTTGCAGATAAGGTTTATATATCTGTGGAATGTCCCACCCTGTCTTGTCTGATTGAGGCAAGTCTGAATGTTGCAATTGGCCGCCTTGATTAGCATTTAATGGCCTTTCTCCCACTCTGGACATTCCACTGATATATAAATCTCACTTGCCGGTGGCACAATGGGTTAAAACTTGTGCCGGCAGGACTGAAGACTGAAGGTCGGAGGTTCGAATCCAGGGAGAGCGGGTTGAGCTCCCTCAATCAGCTCCAGTTCCCCATGCGGGGACATGAGAGAAGCCTCCCACAAGAATGGTAAAACATCAAAACATCTGGACATCCCCTGAGCAACATCCTTGCAGACAGCCAATTCTCTCACACCAGAAGCAACTTGCTGTTTCTCAAGTCGCTCCTGACATGGGGGAAAAAACTTGCTTAGTTTCCAACAGACCTCTCAACCTCTGAGAATGCCTGCCATAGATGTGGGTGCCAGGAGAGAATGCTTCTGGAACATGGCCATATAGCCCAGAAAACTCACAGCAATCCAGTGATTCCAGCCATGAAAGCCTTTAACAACCTAGGTTTTTTGTATAGCATCCTGGATTTTTCAGAATTATTAAATCACGCTTGTCTATTTTCTCACAGTCTCCTCTGGGCCACATCTAATATCCCTTCTATCCCATATAATTACGATGTTATAATTCCACATTTATAGATGTGGCAACATCTTACTGAAGATTTCCAGATCAAAGGAAGGCGATTGGAATTGTCAGAGAACTTTAAGATCTGAAATTACAAAATCCCAGGATTCCACAAGATGTTGCTATTGCATATAAAATGGAATACAAATGCTATAGTTGTATAGAATGAAAAAGGTATTGGTAAGGACAATATGGTGGTGCAATGGTTAAACTGCTGAGCTGCTGAACTTGCTGACCGAAAGGTTGGTGGTTCATATCCGAGGAGCTGCATGAGCTCCCGTTGTTAGCTCCAGCTTCTGCCAACCTAGCAGTTCAAAAGCTTGCAAATGTGAGTAGATCAATAGGTACCATTCCAGCGGGAAGGTAACAGCGTATCATGCAGTCATGCTGGCCACATGACCTTGGAGGTGTCTATGGACAAAGTCGGCTCTTCGGCTCAGAAATGGAGATGAGCACCAATCCCCAGAGTCGGACACGACTGGACTTAATATCAAGGGGAAACCTTTACCTTTTATAATATACTTAACCCACCATGCTCATCTTGGGCATCAAGTTGCAAATCTTAAGGACAATAGAAACTACTTGTAGTGGTGCTTAAATTCCTGATGATGGGGACTATGGCTATTATCCCCAAAACCAAGAGCAGGAACTTTGAGGCAGAAGATCAACAGAGTCATACACAGATAATTTTCCATCATCATCATACTCATTTAAAAAACAACATCAAGCAATTGTGATAGAAAAAGACACAAAATAAAGACAACAATGCAGGCAATTATGATACAGAATAAATTAAACCGTTATTCCCCTTTCAAAACCCCAGCAAGTGGATGTGGAATCTCCTCCTCTGAAATGGGAAGCAAGAGGCTATCCGAATTAATAAATACGAATGGGCTTGTTGGCTGTGGTTCTGGACAAGTTGGCATTGGGGAGAAAATACTCGAGGAATGGCAGCAGATGGATGCCCAGCACCATTGGGGGGAAAGTCCAGGCCAAAGGGGGGAAAGTAGCCCTAGATATCCCCAAAAGGGGACTAAAGGGTGGTAGTTGTAATATTCTGGCTGAGGTAGAGAAGTCCCCAAGCTGGGGCGTCTTGTGGAATACTGGCAGAAAGGGCACCAAGATGGCAACTAGTATGTGCATTTACCCATCTGTAAAATGTGGAAACTGTCAACCGCATGGTATATCTGCTTGGAAAAACACAAGGCACACCCAGAAGTTACAACACTCTCTTGAACCCAGGGCTGGAAACGGCATCCTCTGTGAGCAGAAACCAGGTCCAGATAGGTTTGTGCCAGGCTAAATAGACATACGTATTCTCCAGTGCCAGCTTGCAACTTGGACTAAGCTTGGGTGAAGGTGTTCTGGGAGGTGCTGTTCAAAAAAGGAACTTTCCCAGGCTGGGCAATTCATTCAAACACCTGGGCCAGGTGATCATGATAGGGAAGTGGGCATCCCTTGTGTTATCTGAAGATCAAAGAAAGACTCATCCTGCCCTTCTGCAATCTGAAGACAAACACTGGCTGGGTAACTACAGAGAAAAGTTGTAGTTAAAAAAGCTCCCCAAATAGCAAGGCTGGAGATAGCACATCCCATCACTCCTCTCCTTTTGCTGTCTTTCTTTTTGGATACTGAGACCAGTCAAATATATGAAGTCAAAAGTATTGACACTCTGTCGCCCCCTTCTGATAACAAAAGGGAAGGGAAGCAGAGATGGAAGTGTGCTTCTAGCGCCCCCAAGCACATGTTTATGGCATTACAGCAGCTATCAGATCCGGATGACGAAGACACATTGCTCTTGTTCACTTTTCTTTCTGTCTTGTTTGATACTGTGGGTTCAGTTGAATATGTGCAGTGAAGTTGAAAATCTTGACATTCTGTCACCCTCTTCTGACAATAAGAAGCAAGGAAGATAGAGATGGAAATGAGCCTTTAGCACCCCCGGAGGCTTGCTCATGGCATTACAACAGCTATCAGCTCAGGAAGTGTGTCTCTACCACCCCCAGAGGCTTGTTTAGGGCATTACAGTAGCTATCAAATTGGGACAACGAAGAAACATTGCTCTTGTTCGCTTTCCTTTCTTTCTTTTTTGATACTGTGAGTTTAGCTGAATAAGTCCAGCGAAGTTGAAAATCTTGACATTTTGTCACCCCTTTCTGACAACCGGAAATAAGGAAGGTAGAGGTGGAAATGAGCCTTTAGCACCTCCAGAGGCTTGCTCATGGCATTACAACAGCTATCAGCTCAGGAAGTGTGTCTCTAGCACCCCCAGAGGCTTGTTTATGGCATTACAGCAACTAAGGATCCAGATGATGAAGAAGCATTGCTCTTGTTCGCTTTCCTTTCTGTCTTTTCTTGATACTGTGGGTTCAGTTGAATTTGTGCAGTGAAGTCGAAAATCTTGACACTCTGTCACCCACTTCTGACAACAAGAAGCAGGCATGGTAGAAGTGGAAATGAGCCTTTAGCACCTCTGGAGGCAGTGAAGTTGAAAATCTTGACTGTCATCCTCTTCTGACAACAAGAAGCAAGGAAGGTAGAAGTGGAAATGATCCTTTAGCACCCCCGGAGGCAGTGAAGTTGAAGATCTTGACACTCTGTCACACCCTTCTGACAACAAAAAGCAAGGAAGGTAAAAGTGGAAATGAGCCTTTAGCACCCCCGGAGGTTTGCTCATGGCATTACAACAGATATTAGCTCAGGAAGTGTGTCTCTAGCACCCCCAAAGGCTTGTTTAGGGCATTACAGCACCTATTGGATCCAGATGACGAAGAAACACTGCTCTTGTTCACTTTCCCTTCTGTCTTTTTTGATACTGATGTGTGCAGTAAAGTCGAAAATCTTGACACGCTGTCACCCCCTTCTGACAACAAGAAGCAAGGAAAGTAAAAGTGGAAATGAGCCTTTAGCACCCCCGGAGGCATGCTCGTGGCATTACAACAGCTATTAGCTCAGGAAGTGTGCCTCTAGCACCCCCAGAGGCTTGTTTATGGCATTACAGTAGGTATCAACTCAACACAACGAAGCAACGTTGCTCTTCTTTGCCTTCTTTCCACCAGTGGTCTTCCATCATGCTGAAAACCGTACTCCAGTGTTGTCACCCATCCTTCGCAACCTTCTGTGGCAGTGCTTGTCTTGCACCCGACAGAGCAGAAGTCGATCTGGTTCTGAGCCCAGCATTCAGGGAACGCATGCATGCAGATCAGTCTCTCTTGTGTCCCCGTCCGTGGTCCCGCACCTGTGGTCTCAGGCTGAACCATACTTGCTCTTGCTGTGGCTGGTGCGGGTCAGTTGGAGCTGGCGTGCAGCTTGTAGGACACGGTAGCGCTCGCGAAGGTTGCGCCGCCGCACGTGCTCATTGGTGATTTCTTGGACGTAGCGCGAGGGAAACCAGCCCTTCTTGCCATCCGCCAGGCGAACCCCCTCATACCAGCCTGCAAGGGAGGGAGAGAAGGAGGAAAACAGAATCAGGGATCTCTTAAGTTCTTAGTTTGCATAAGAACTGCCAAGGATTCTATATTCAGAAACAGAATTTTATACTCTCCATCAGAAGTTACTGTGGTGGAAATATTCTTGCATGAACTATAGAATGATCTTTTGGAGAGACTGCGGCCCCTTCCACACAGCTGAATAAAATCTCACAATATCTGCTTTGAACTGAAATATATGGCAGTGTGGACTCAGATAACCCAGTTCAAAGCAGATATTGTGGGATTTTCTGCCTTGATATTCTGAGATATAGGGCTGTGTGGAAGGGCCCTAACACTCACCAAATTCCCCAAGTTCTAAGGGACATAGCTCCCAAAGCTTCTTAATGGTTCCGAAGGCCCAGTCTTTATGTCCATCGATATAAATAAAAATGTTATGTTCGTTTGTGGGATTAACATAATTCAAAAACCACTGGGCAAATTGACACCAAATTTGGACACAAGACACCTATCAGGCAACAAGTGACCATCACTCATAAAACACTAGAAAACACAGCAGAAGGGACTTAAAAAGCCAAAAAAATAAAAAATACATTCCATCATGGAGAAACTCACCCTCGTTGGTTTTGCGTAGCACATTCACAATATCTGTCGGCTCAAGGCTCAGTTCATCTGCCTGTGTGGCAGTGTAGGCCTCAGTGCATTGCACTTGGGGGCAATCTATGTAAGGAGAAAACAGGGAGAGAGAAGAAAATATATGAAGGACATCTACCTAGGGAAGCCCTCCTCAGGTTGCTGCCCTCCAGACACCTTGGACTGCAATTCCCAGAATCTTCCATTGGATTCCATTCCTAGCACCTGCTGTTTTCAATAGTGGACAGAGCAGTGTTTAGCATATTGGACTACAGGTACCAGGGGCTGTGTTTGCGCAGCAGGTGAAACTGCTAAGCTGCAGAACTTGCTGACCGGAATCTGAGGGACAGGGTGAGCTCCTGTTGTTACCCCCAGCTTCTGCCAACCTAGCAGTTTGAAAACATGCGAATATGAGTAGATTAGTAGGTACCACTCTGGCAGGAAGGTAACAGCGCTCCGTGGAGTCATGCTGGCCACATGACCTTGGAGGTGTCTATGGACAACACCGGTTCTTCAACTTAGAAATGGAGATGAGCACCACCCCCCAGAGTTGGATTCGACTAGACTTAATATCAAGGGGAAACCTTTACTTTTACTACTACATATACCAAAGTGCCCCATGGACAACAGCCATACTGCTTGGAGGGGATTTTGGGAATCAGGATACAAAAAAGGAATGTTTCCAAGCTGGGGTTAGGTTGGTAAAGGTTGTCCCCTGACATTAAGTCTAGGGTGTGGTGCTCATCTCCATTTCTAAGCCAAAGAGCCAGCGTTATCCATAGACACCTCCAAGGTCATGTGGCCAGCATGACTGCATGGAGCGCCGTTACCTTCCCGCCGGAGCGGTACCTATTGATCTACTCACATTTGCATGTTTTCGAACTGCTAGGTTGGCAGAAGCTAGGGCTGACAGTGGAAGCTCACACTGTTCCCTGGAATCAAACCTGTGACCTATCGGTCAGCTGAGGTTAGCAAGTGGTAATAGTGATAGTGGAGCTGAAGGGTGAAAAAATCAAAAGGCTCTCACCCCAGTCCTCATAGATGGTCTCCTGCTTCCCACTGGGTTGAGATTCATGAGAGGGGAAGGCACCGATCCAGCGGTGCATATCTGACCTGAAAGTAGAGACAAGACTCATGATTAGAAATTTTACAGCAGTAGATTAGCAGGAAGGGGACATTCGTTCAGTGCTTTGGAAGAAACACAGAAAGCAACCCCACCAAATCCTGAGTCCACAATTACGGTTGTGGGAATGAGAGCAATCCCTTGAGGATCTTCCAACCTGTGCAGTCTCATACGCATAGATATTATAGAATCATAGAATCAAAGAGTTGGAAGAGACCTCATGGGCCATCCAGTCCAACCCCCTGCCAAGAAGCAGGAATATTGCATTCAAATCACCCCTGACAGATGGCCATCCAGCCTCTGTTTAAAAGCCTCCAGTTAGCCCCAATACTGTGCAACATAGTACACTCATCCTTCCACAACCTCTGAGGTAAACCTCACAACATCTGAGGATGCTTGCCACAGATGCAGGCAAAACGTCTGGAGAAAATACTTCTAGAACATGGCCACACAACCCAAGAAACCTACAACAACCCAGTGATTCCTTCTATGAAACCTTCGACAATACATCCCTTCACATCTGCAGTTTTGTCTTTTGAGGACACTTCTCTAGAAACTTCTAAGAGCTTCTATGGTCAGCTTCTAGCAGAAGTTGATCGTAGAGTCATGTTGGAAGACCTAGGATCGGAGAACTTTGTGGAAAATGACTAGAGGTAGGTAAAGGTTGTCCCCTGACATTAAGTCCAGTCATGTCTGACTCTGGGGTGTGGTGCTCATCTCCATTTCTAAGCCGAAGAGCCGGCGTTGTCCGTAGACACCTCCAAGGTCATGTGGCCGGCATGACTGCATGGAGCGCCGTTACCTTCCCGCCGGAGCGGTACCTATTGATCTACTCACATTTGCATGTTTTCGAACTGCTAGGTTGGCAGAAGCTAGGGCTGACAGCGGAAGCTCACGCCGCTCCCCGGAATCGAACCTGCAACCTTTCGATCAACAAGCTCAGCAGGTCAGTGCTTTAACACACTGCGCCACTGGGAAAATGACTACATCAGCTGAAATCCTCTGGGATCTTCCACAATACTTTGCTTTAGTCCTCCCTACTTTCCTGTGTCAACAACCCTATAATGCTCCAAGTTTTCTGCTTCTCAGAAGTGGTTCCACCTTGAAAGAGAATCGTGCTCCCAACTTGGTCCCTCCTCACCATTTATAAACATCGTTGGGTGTTTCCATCCCTATCTTGTCCCATGTGTCTCCCATAAACCAAAATGACTCACTGTGTTGGGGCCCGGCAGAGACGGTCACTACTCCGCCCTTGGTGGTTCTCCATCAGCGTCAAGTAGAAACTGTTGTCGGCCGCTTGGCCCGTGTGGGTTTCCCCACAGCCCTGGGCTTGGATCAGTGAACGGTGGGCATAATCCAGCACCACGAAGCGTTCGGAACTGCAGAAGGGGAATGAATTCAGCACAGGAGAAAAAAACTTCATAGGCAATAGAGCTGAATGCATAGGAAACAAAGGGCGATGGATGAAAAATGTAAACATTTCAAAGGTTTAACACCAAACATGTATAGAGAATTAGGTAAAAACATTATCTTTTCCCACACGATTTAATAAAAAGGTAAATTGAAACATGGTGCTATGGAAGCCTCAATCAGGCTTCCATGCGGAGGCTATTCGCAATTGGAGTGCTAACACAAAGGAAGCCCCCCTCCCATGTCCTCCCACAATGTATCACTCAGATTGCTGGTGGGCACCCTCAGCAGACCTCAGTCCACAGAAAGGCATATGAGGGGTCACTTCTCCCTTAAATATGAAACTATATTCAGTTTGTTGTCGAAGGTCTTCATGGCCAAAATTACTGGGTTGCTGTGAGTTTTCCAGGCTGTATGGCCATGCTCCAGTAGCATTCTCTCCTGATGTTTCACCCACATCTATGGCAGCATATTATTTGAGAACACAGAAATGCTGGACCACTCTAACAACCATTATGTCAGACAACGCAGAGAAGCCATTGAAACCCACAAGCATGTGGACAATTTCAATAGAAAAGAGGAAACCATGAAAAGGAACAAAATCTGGCTACCATATATATATATATAATGCTCTGTGCATAATGAGTGCCTTAAAAACAAAAGAACCAATGAACGAAATCACACCAAATTTGGCAACAAAACATCTCACAACACAAAGAGTGACCATCACTCAAAAAATTATGATTTTGTCATTTGGGAGTTGTAGTTGCTGGGATTGTATAGTTTACCTACAATCAAAGAGCATTCTGAACCCCACCAACGATAGAATTGGGGCAAACTTCCCACACAGAACCCCCATGACCAACAGAAAACACTTAAGGCCATCCATTCCAACTCCCTCCACCAGGGCAAGAAAACGTAATCAAAGCCCCCCTGACAAAGAGCCAACCAGCCATAGATATAGATAGATATGATTCTCACACACGTAAATATAGTATCATAGATTGGAAAGGGACCCCTAAAGAAGGACAATGATATGTTGCATGTTCCAGAGTAGGCAAACCACACTCTCCACATCAACACTGACAAAGAAACAGCAAGAAATACTGTTTACCCACAAGCATAAAGAAATTACATATATTAGAAACCAAGACTTTCTCATTACTTTATTTTCCATATTAACAGACTGGGCCACAGCAACACGTGGCAGGGGACAGCTAGTACTTATATATTACTAGCTCTCATTTACTGTGACATACTGTGTTTTTGTGTATTCCAGACATGAAACAATCAGGGCCAGCTAACACTTTCCAACAAAGGATTCCCACAAGCATGAATCAGCCAGGCCTTGAAGCCACAAGGCTTTGCAATGTTAATCAAGGTGATTAAATTGCAACATTCACACTTGCCTCCAACAGACAAGAGTTCTTTCTCCCAACCTGGACATTCCACAGACTTGCCTGACTTGACTTGCCTAGTTTCCAATATACCTCACATCCTCTAAGGATGCCTGCCACAGATGTGGGTGAAATATCAGGAGAGAATGCTTCTGGAACATGGCCATACAGCCCGGAAAAATCACAGCAACCCACTATATTTGATTTCTTTCCAGCTCACCTCTTGCGTTGAGTGATGAGCAGAAGATCATTGAAGAGGAACAAGTAGATGGGCACCAGTTTGGGTTTGGTGCCAAAGATGGTGCCCCGATGAACTACCTCTAGCAGCTCCCCTTGCTTCAGTAGCTGCCGGGTCTGGGAGATGATGGGGACTGCCTGAATCAGAATGGAAAGAGGCATTGAGAAAAGGGTTCCTCAAGATTATCTGATCCCCTTCCTCCAAGGTAGAAACTCAAAGGTCCAAGAAATACACACCTATGAAAGCCAGGAGGTCATGTATCACAAAGAGAGCATTCACATTGTAGAATCAACACAGTTTGGTACTACTTCAACTGTCATGGGTCTGGAGTTCTTGGGAGTTGTAGTTTCACAAGAGCTTTAGCCTTCACTGCCAAAAAGTGCTAGTTTTAGCCTATAAAGCCCTAAAACAGTGGGTCTCAACCTGTGGGTCCCCAGATGTTTTGGCCTTCAACTCCCAAAAATCCTAACAGTTGGCAAACTGGCTGGGATTCTGGGAATTGTAGGCCAAAACACATGGGGACCCACAGGCTGAGAACCACTGCCCTAAATGGTTCCGGCCCAGCTTACCTATACAAACGTATCCCCTCCTATGAACCATCGCAGAGATTAAGATCGTCTGGGGAGGCCCTGCTCTCGGTCCCACCACCCTCATAAGTACATCTGGTGGGGATGAGAGACAGGGCCTTCTCAGTGGTGGCCCCTCATCTGTGGAATTTTGTCCCCAATTAAATCAGAACAGCCCCCTCCATTCTGTCTTTCAGGAAAAAACTTAAGACATGGTTATGGGACCAAGCATTCGAGCAGTAACTATAGCAATGCAATACTTGAGATCTCTTAAAGCGATGGAGTTATGGACTGATTCTGGACTACGATTTTGAATTTGCATAATTTTAATTGCAGGTTTAACCATTTATGTTTTATTGCTGGTTTTAATTGTAATTGTTATGTTTGTTGGGCATCAAATGGTTGCCCGTTGTGAGGCCGCCCTGAGTTCCCTTCGGGGTGAAAAGGGCGGGGTACAAGTATAGGAAATCAATAAATAATAAATAAGAATGGCACTCCCATAATGTGTCCTCTCCATTCCACAAGTATACAATTACATTTTTAAATTAATACTAGGGTTGGTTATTTGGTTGATAAATAAAATAAATGTAGTCTATTGTTGAATTAAATACTGTTCAGATTTTAACTTTACAGTGATCTGTGGGTGTTCAATTCTACAGATACAAAAAACATGGATAATCACACCCCATTTTATTAAATGACAACAACTTATAATAATATAATGTAATGTAATGTAATATATTGTATATACATATAATATTTATAATATTATAATGTAATGCAATATAATACTACTAATAATATATTATAATTATATATTTATATTACATGTATTATTACTAATAATATGACAATTTATTTATTTATTTCATATCAAAAGCATTGAATAAATTAGTATAAAACTGTCTTGCCACTATTATTTATTTATTTATTTATTTGCAACATTTATATGCCGCCCTTCTCACCCCGAAGGGGACACAGAGCGGATTACAAGATATATATACATACAATATATTATATTATTAGCATATGAGAAAGCATATTCAAAGAAAATATTACTAATAATATTACAATATAATGGTATAGTATAATATAGTAATATATAATACTGATATTGTACTATGCTAATAATATAATATATTGTATGTACATATATCTTGTAAGCCACTCCGAGTCCCCTTTGGGGTGAGAAAAGTGGCATATAAATGCCGTAAATAAATAAATAAACTTGAACATGTTCTTATTGGCACCGTTTATTAACATGGGATGTGATAATCCCAGGTCGCTGGGAAACATAGATCCAGATCATGCAGATTTAGAGGACTCTTTCTGTTACTAAACATTGACTTCACTAAAACCAGAAAGGTGATAAAGAATACGCATATAATAAGGGTGAAATATTTATTTAACAGTTCATTTTGGTTTTAATCCTGGGAAAAGAGGGGCCAGCCTTTCAATTTATACAAAGTAAGGTGTGCAGCAGGCACCAAATAACCCAAAACTATTCTAAATAATGGCAGCTTTTGCAGGCAGCTGTTTTAACTAGTTAACAAGGCAATTTGAGGTTCATCCTCATCATGACGTTCAGAAATGCTTGATTGTGATCCAATAATAAACAGTCAGTTGATAAATGATCTGGCAAATAAATTGTCCAGCTGGCCAACCGTATGGACTGTGTGTGCTCTTTGAAGAAGGCTCACATGTTCGGAAACGAGTCTCCAGTTTTGGGACAAGTTGGGAAATGTTTTAATTTTGAGTTTTTTAGGGACTTAACCTCCCAGAATGTGTCAGCCGAGTGGATTCTGAGAGTTGTATTCCAAAAAAGAGTTCCAAACTCTGGTGCTATTTCAAGGGGGTAATGGGAATGGTAGGCCCAAACATCTGGAGAAATCTGGGTTTGGGGAAGGCAGAATTCTCTATATTGTTGAAGGTTTTCATGACCGGAATCACTGGGTTGTTGAAGTTTTTTTGGGCTATATGGTCATGTTCTAGAGGCATTCTCTCCTGACATTTCGCCTGCATCTATGGTAAGCATCGTCAGAGGTAGTGAGGTGTGTTAGAACTAGGAAAAAGGGTTTATATATCTGTGGAATGACCAGGGTGGGACATAGGACTCTTGTCTACTGGAGCTAGGTGTGAATGTTTCAACTGACCACCTTGATTAGCATTTGATGGCCTGAGAGTGTCTGGAGCAATCTTTTGTTGAGAGGTGATTAGATGTCCCAGATTTTCCTAGTTCCAACAGACTTCACTACCTCTGAGGATGCTTGCCATAGATGCAGGCGAAACGTCAGGAGAGAATGCCTCTAGAACATGACCATATAGCCCAAAAAAAAAAAAAAAACTACAACAACCCAGAATTCTCTACTTTGTTTATCTATTTGTATGTGCGGTAAAAGACAAGAAGAGCCCTGGTGTACTGGCAGGATCCCATAAAGGTAGAAGCCTGAAAACCTACTGACCTTAAGTTTGTCAAACTCAATCTTGCTGGCGATAAGGATCAGCTCCTCCATGTGCCGCATGCGTCCCACCTCGGAGTTGCACTCTTCTATAATCTTAAAGAGAGGTGGAGAAAATAAGAAAAGAAAGACTCCTTTTACAAGGAGCCCCTTGGTGGTGCAGTGGGTTAAACTGCTGAACTGCTGAACTTGCTGACCAAAAGGTTTGCAGTTCGAATCTGTGGAGTGAGGTGAGCTCCTGACATTAGCCCCAGCTTCTGCCAACCTAGCAGTTCAAAAACATGCAAGTGTGAGTAGATCAATAGGTCCCGCTTCTGCGGGAAAGTAATCGCGCTCCATGCAGTCATGCCGGCCACACGACCTTGGAGGTGTCTATGGACAACGCTGGCTGACAGCAGCTGCCAACTGAAGCACACAACACTACGTTATCTGGACCAGGTTCAGCTCAGTCTACTTTGTCCTTCCAGGGGTTTTGGATTTCAATTCCCAATATTCCTAAGTAGGAGTTCAAGTCCAAAACACCCAAAGTGCCGAAGGTTTCCCATGCCTGGTCTAAAGGCAGCTTTGGAAGTTCAAAACTTCGAAATACTCTTTCTTGGGTAATTTCCAGAATCTAGCTTTACTTCCCGAGGGATTCTGGGATTTCCAGCTCCAGAAAGAAATTTTTCCAGCTCCACGTGGATTCATATATTGAGTTACCCTCACCTTGGAAACAGATGCCAAAGCTTTCATGGCGTTTTGCTCTCTCGGAGAGCCTTCTTCTGTTCGACGCAGGATGTTCTAAGGAAAAAGAAATAAAATTTGAATGAGGAAGTGGTTTCAGCAATAGTAGCAGTTCGAAAACAAGCAAATGTGAGTAGATCAATAGGTACTGCCTTAGTGGGAAGGTAACAGTGCTCCATGCAGTCATGCTGGCCACATGACCTTGGAGGTGTCTCCGGACAACACTAGCTCTTTGGCTTAGAAATGGAGATGAGCACCAACCCCCAGAGTTGGATACAACTGGACTTAATGTCAAGGGAAAACCTTTACCTTTACCTAACCTTTTGGAAAGCCAGAATCTTCATAACTTTTGGAGAAAAATGGCATTCACAACCATTCGAAAATCACAACCCTTTGTAAAAGTATGATCTTCCAGAGAAGAGCCAAAAACTTATTTGAGTAAAATCTTCTCTTCAGTGGTATATTTCCACATTTAGTTATGCAAGGCAATTTGACTTTCAGCTGTTAGACTGATAATCTAGCTGTCTCTGTTAGGAACAGAGATTATGCCAATGCACCAAAACAGAGAGTTTCCGAAGTGTTGTTTTCAGTACATCTACTCTCCCATAAAATACCTTATTTCTACATCATGCTCTCAAGAGACAAAATAAAGTAGAGTTCATTAAAAGTAATGTGGCACAATGTAAAATAAACCACGTGTAGTTTATATTTGATCAGCCCACACACTGCCTTGCCAGAGAAAGAAAATATGCCACACAGGTGAACAGTAAAGAACAAGTTGTTTACTCTTCTTAATTCAGAACAACATATGTACAATATGATCAGTTGTATCAACTCACATAATGTCCTTTTATGAGAGATTTAAAATAGTTTTTTCTCTGTCCATGTGGATAAACTCCTTCAGTAGCTCATGAATAAAGAGCACAGTCCAAACTCTGTCTCTCTCTGCTTCACTCTTCAAAACTGTCTCTCTCTCTGTACCTACATAGCTCAAGCCTGAACAAAAAATGTAACAGTATCCAAAAGTCCCAGGCTCAGCCATTCCCCCGGGCATTGCCCAACCAATCAGCTTCATGCATCTTATTTTACAGTCGACACACACACATTAGCTGATTCCTTGCATGCTCCAACAAGTAACATATTTGGTTTACTCACAACCTTCATGTATTCAGCATACAGGTACATAACTTGTCAATCCAGTTACAGATAGATTTGAAGTAGTTGCTCTATGCAGATAACACAGGGCATGTATTTTATGATCAATAGCAACATGACTCTGCTCTTAACAGTCCAAAGTAGAATGGCATCTCATGGACCCCGCGCTCCAATGGAATCTGTAGTCTAAGGCATCCCATGGCTAAAGCATTTCTGAGTTCTAAAATCGAGTTTGAGATCTGAGCAGTCCCAGATCTGATCAAGTGGTCTGCAGCTCCTTCCACAACCTCAAGAAACATAGAGTAAAGGGAAAGCTGCATAGCAAAACATTAGGCCTGGGTAACAACGGAAAAATTTGTTTCTAAAATCGATTTGTTTTTTGGGGTTTTTTGCGTTTCGATATTTAAAAGAATTCCAAAATTTTCCTTAAAAAAAGTTCGATATTTACGAAATTTCGTAAATGGTAAAAAAATTCCGAAACAATAACGAAACAATAACGAATCGATTCGTTAATGGCGGCCGCGATCGCGCAATACGCTAAAAAAACTTCTGAAGCTTCCCTCTCCCTCTGTTGTTGACTGTTGGTGTGATATTATAATTTTTTTTCACTAATTAAACAAAAAACAACTATAAAACTTGCCCCAGACATGCGGAAATAATAACGAAACGACCTCAAACCAATAACGAAACGAATACATAACGAAATACGAAGCATTTACGAAACGAATTGAAAAATTCGTTTCGTTTTTAAGTTGCTCCAGAATGGTTCGTTATCGCTTCGTTAACCAAAAAAAAAAAATAACGAATTTTTAACGAATTACGAATTAACGAAACGAAACCGCCCAGCCCTACAAAACATATATATACAAGCAAACAGATTCATATACAAACGAACATGCATATACAATACAGTAAGCAAACAGAATCATATACAAACAAATTACTAGTGGAGGCTTGGAAATGGTTGCTATTTCCAACAGAATATCAAGGTCTTCTTTATGCACAACTTTATGGCTGGAAGTTGACCACTGAATTGCACTGGAGGACCTACGAATATATAGATAAACGTTATCTCTAGGCATCTCTAGCTCCACCGGCACAGCTGTATAGTCAACTTCTGAGGGAACACAATCTAGAGTCCACTGGAAAGAAGGTGGGTTATAAGGGTAACAGACAAAATAATAACTTTGCCCTTGACTCCAAAGTCTTACCTCGATGAGCATCTTGATGCGGGTGATTCTCTGGAAAGGGAGCAGCAGGAAGGACATGAAGGGAAGCCGTTGGCATTGGGGCAGCTCTTGGAGGCGGGTGACGACAGTGGCAAATTGTGGGTTCTTCTCCCTAAGAAGAGAAGAGAAGTGGCAGGGTCAGGAAAGAGGATTTGGAACTCTACCAAGGGGAAACTGCAACAAAATCTTGCAGCGTGGAATGCTCCTTCCAGGATATTCTGCTTTATTTCTTCAGCTAGCCAGCATTCTAAGCCTGGTCAATTTCCCTCTTAAAGCTTCTTTACCCCTTTCCACCAAGATTTACTTTTTGGACTGCTGCAAATCCTAACATTCCCTTATTCACCCTTGTTGTTGTTGCTGTTGTTGGCCTTCAAGTCATTTCCAATTTATGATGACTCAAAAGAAAACATATCGCAAGGTTTTATTGGGATGAGAGTGTGTGATCCACCCAAGGTCACCCAATAGACTTCAATGTCTGAGAGGAGATTCGAACCCTGACCACTCAAACTACTATTTAATACCAATATAAAGAATTGGTTTGCTGTGAGTTTTCTGGGCTCTATGGCCATGTTCCAAAAGCATTCTCTCCTGATGTTTCACTCACATCTATGGCAGGCATCCTCAGAGGTAAGTAAGGTTTATATCTGTGAAATGTCCAGGGTGGGAGAAAGAACTCGTGTCTGCTTGAGTCAGGTGTGAATGTTGCAATTGGCCAACTTGATTAGCATTTAATGGCCTTGCAGCTACAAAGCCTGGCTGGTTACTGCCTGGGGAGATCCTTTGTTGGGAGGTGATTTTTTTCTGTCTGGAATTACCCTATTTTTGAGTGTTGCTCTTTATTTTCTGACTACACAGAGAAGCCATTGAAATCCACAAGCCTGTGGACAATTTCAACAGAAAGGAGGAAACCATGAAAATGAACAAAATCTGGCTACCAGTATTAAAAAACTCTAACAGTAAGCAATTAGCCAGGCTTTGAAGCTGCAAGGCCATTAAATGCTAATCAAGCTGGCCAATGGCAACATTCACACCTACCTCAAAGAGACAAGAGTTCTTTCTCCCACCCTGGACATGATTCCACAGATATATAAACCCCACTTGCCTAGTTCCAACACACCTCACAACCTCTGAGGATGCCTGCCATAGATGTGGGCAAAATGTCAGGAGAGAATGCTTCTGGACCATGGCCATACAGCCTGAAAAACTCACAGCAACCCAGTGATTCCAGCCATGAAAGCTTTCGACAACACAGTGTGAAGAATGTTACTGCTATTAATATTATGCCATTGTTCGTATTAATGTTATTTATACCCTGCTTTTTCTCAGCATCAGGAGCATGGACCACTCTGAGTGATGCTGAGACTTGAAAGGAATAAGTATATTACAAAAGCAAACACTACAGAAATACTTAATAGATATTAGACTGTTAATGTACAGTTCAAAGATTCCTATTTGTGGATTTGATTTTTCATAGATTTGATTAAAATATTATTTCTAGGAATCTCTATGCCCTCCAGTATGATTCCATAGTCAACATCCAGCTGGGTGACCTAGAGATTCCTAAAGATGTTTTCTCAGAGGTAAAAAATAGCAATTTATTTATTTGCGGTTTTCCATTTTTGCGTGGGCCCTGTGCCCCTAACCCGTACGAATGTGGAGGGCTGACTGTAAAATGCTTCTTCCTCTTTCGGCTGCTCAATATAAGTCAAGGAAAGCTATTGTAACCATGGGAATAGTGCAGAGAGAATGGAATATTCCAAAGTGTATTTGCGACCTCAATTATTTCTGGTGTGTTAGTCACTGCGCTAAGATACATAATGTAAGCAATTAACTGCATTCTTCTGTGATCCAGAGCCAACCTGTCTGGAATGCAGCTTGATGCTTTAAAATGTTTCTCTCAGTGCAGATGCACAGTGTGAGTGCATCTGCACTGTAGAATTAATACAGTTTGACACCACTTTAACTGCCATGGCTCAACGCTATGGAATCCTGGGAGCTGTAGTTTGGTTATTTTTTTTAATTTGTCGTGTCAGAGCAACCAGTTGCTCTGTAGTTTGGTGAGGCACAAACACTCTTTGGCTTGAAAGTTCAAGACATTGTCAAAGGCTTTCATGGTCAGAATCACTGGGTTGCTGTGAGTTTTCCAGGCTGTATGGCATTCTCTCCTGACGTTTCACCCACATCTATGGCAGACATCCTCAGAGGTTGTGAGGTCTGTTGGAAACTAGACAAATAGGATTTATATATCTGTGGAATAATGTCCAGGGTGGGAGAAAGAACTCTTGTCTGTTTGAGGCAAGTGTGAATGTTGCAATTGGCCACCTTGATTAGGTCATTAAATGCTGAGTCGCCTTTGGGCTGAAATGGGCAGGATAGAAATAATGTAAATAAATAATCAAGGTAGCCAATTGGAAACTAGGCAAGTTTTTTTTTTCCATGTCAAGGGTGACTTGAGAAACTGCAAGTCACTTCTGGTGTGAGAGAACTGGCCATCTGCAAGGACGTTACACAGGGGATGCCCAGATGTTTTGATGTTTTACCATCCCTCATGTCCCTGCATGAGGAGCTGGAGCTGACAGAGGGAGCTCAACCCACTTTCCCTGGATTTGAACCTCCAACCTGTCAGCACAAGGGTTTAACCCATTGCGCCACTGGCAAGTGAGGTTTATATATCTTTGGAATATCCAGAGTGGTAGAAAGGCCATTCAATGCTAATCAAGGTGGCCAATTGCAACATTCACACTTGCCTCCAACAGACGAGAGTTCTTTCTCCCACCCTGGACATTCCACAGATATATAAACCTCACTTGCCTAGTTTCCCACAGACCTCACAACATCTGGGGATGCTTGCCATAGATGTGGGTGAAACATCAGGAGGGAATGCTTCTGGAACATGGCCATACAGGCCAGAAAACTCACAACAACTCAGATCAGACCCTCTAAGCTCTCCCCATTACTCACATGAGGGTGCTGTAGGTCTTTTCCTGATACAGCTGGTTGCGCACATAGTCAATGTAGACGGAGAAACTTTGCTGGGCATGATCCTCCACGATGTCGCAGACGTCTGAGATCTGCAAACTCTCTGCCAGGCGTGTTTCCAGGTCTTGCAGGAATCTGCCAAGAGGATGAGTTGGGACTATGTTGAGCCATGGAATTAAAATTATTCCAAGAATTTGAAGAATATTTTTTTTTAATTTTGAAACTTCAAAAAAGCTTCTTACACTCGATGACACCTTAGATTAGAAGTCCTGTGCATATACCTATATCTATATATGATCAAATCCAAACTGACCCTACTCCACCTAGAACAACCTTAACCTTGGGTTAAGGTTCATCTTTCCCCAGTAGTGGAACATTTGGTTACATCATCTTATTTATTTATTTACATTTATTTACAGTATTTATATTCCGCCCTTCTCACCCCGCAGGGGACTCAGGGCGGATTACAATGTACACATATATGGCAAACATTCAATGCCAAAGACACACAACACATATAGACAGACAGTCAGAGGCTATTTAACTTTTTCAGGCTGCCAGGGGAGCTGTCGCTACCATCGTCCATCTGCGACACTGATGAAGTACTTCCGCATTCCCCGCATGCTTTTGCTGGAGTGCTTTGCTGGAGTCTTTTTTATAGCCTTGTTAAATTAGCCTCCCCACACATAGGAGGTACCTAATTTTCCTACTTGACAGGTGCAACTGTCTTTCAGGTTGCAAAGGTCAACAACAAGCTACACAATTGGTTGGAAGCTCACTCCAACCCGGGCTAGCTTCGAACTCATGACCTTGTGGTCAGAAGTGATCTTAATGCAGCAGACACTCAGACAGCTGCGCCACAGTCCCGGTGCTGTGATACCTTCAAGATAAGCTTGGTTTACAGCAGTGGTTCTCAACTTGTGGGTCTCCGGGTGTTTACTAGCTATTAGGATTTCAGGGAGTTGAAGGCCAAGACTTCTGGGGACCCACAGGTTTGAGAACCACTGATCTACAGGATCAAAATGGTTGAGGCATGGTATCAAAAGAGCTTCATCTCAAGATCAGGGCAATCTCCAGACCTTCAGATCTAGTTGGATTGCAATTCCTTGCAGACCAATTAATTGCAAAGAATGTTCAATATCTGAATATTTTTTTTTATCTCTAGTCTGGGGACAAGGAGAAAGAGGCAACGCTAACCTTTCGCTGACCTCCTTGACTTTGCGGATGTTGGAGAAGAGGATCCGGTGCTCACGCAGGAGGATGGTGCCCGCCATGTCCCGCGACTCCATGAAGTGCTCGATCAGAAGGGTCAGCGAGCGGAGGTACGAGGCTTCGGAAGTGACCACCTCAAAAAGGCTCTGGAGACATGGAACAAGAGTCACAGAAATTGGAGTGTATTGCCAATCATCACTTTCTGGAAACTCTTGCCAAACAATGACCAGGTAACAAAGGATGAGATGCGGAAATTTGGCTAACTCACCTCTTGCAACTTCCGTTCCTCGGGGCTCATGCTTCCCAGGAGGCCGCTCTCTCGTACAGCAGGCAGCTCCTGCCAAAGAGTGCAATGAGGGGTGGAAACCCGGGGCCCCGAGGGCCCTTCACCCGGAGAAGGGGCCCCGTAATCCGAGCTGCTGAAACTGCTGTTGCGGGGAACCGTTTGCCTCTTGATCTCTTTAGAGATAACTGCCTGCCGATATGTTTGGTATAGAGGCTCTGCAGTAGGGAAAGATTAGTGCTTCAATGAGAAAGAGATCACAGAAACAACAACTAATGCATTATTCACCTCTCCACTTGGCTTGAGGTGGGCACACAATACTTAAAATATACAATTAAACACAATCTATATAGATAAAAATGTAATGTTCGTTTGTGGAATTAACATAGCTCAAAAACCACTGGACGAATTGCCGCCAAATTTGGCCACAAGACATCTACTAACCCAAGGAGTGACCATCACTCAAAAATTGATTTGGTAATTTGGGAGTTGTAGTTGCTGGGATTTATAGTTAACTGACAATCAAAGAGCAGTCTGAACTCCACCAATGATGGACTTGAAACAAAGGAGGCACACAGGAGTCCCATGACCAACAGAAAACACTAGAAGGGTTTGGTGGGCATTCACCTTGAGTTTGGGAGTTGTAGTTCACATACATCCAGAGAGCACTGTGGACTGAAACAATGATGGATTTGGACCAAACTTGACATGAATACTCCATATGTCCAAATATGAACACAGATGGAGTTTGGGGGAAATAGACCTTGACATTTGAGAGTTGCAGTTACTGGGATTTATAATTCACCAAAGAGCATTCTGAACCCCACCAATGACAGAATTGGGGCAAACTTCCCACACAGAACCCCCATACTTAAGACCATCCAGTCCAACTCCCTCCACCAGGGCAAGAAAACATAATCAAAGCCCTCCTGACAAAGAGCCATCCAGCCATAGATATAGATAGATATATACGATTCACACACACAGAGATATAGTATCATAGATTTGAAAGGGACCCCTAAGAAGGACAATTATACGTTGCGTGTTCCAGAATAGGCAAACCAGACAACCTCTACATCCACACTGACAAAGAAACAGCAAGAAATACTGTTTCCCAACAAGCATAAAAAATTATATATATTAGAAACCAACACTTTATCATTACTTTATTTTCCAGATCACGAGACTGGGCCACAGCAACACGTGGCAGGGGACGGCTAGTGCTATTTATAAATACATGTATTAAAATACATAGGACAAAGAAAAAAACACCAAAACCAATAGGCTAGGTCTTGCTTTTCAGAAGGCCAATAACTGGACCCAAACGCCCACCAAAGCCAATCCTATGTCACAAATCTCTTTGGAAGCCCAATATAGGTTGGATTTACACTGTAAAATTAATCGTGTTTGACATTGCTTTAACTTCCATAGCTAAATAGTATTGAATCCTGAGTGTTGTAGTTTGGTGAGGCACCAACACTTTTTGGCACGGCAGATTAAGTAATGTTTACTCGATTCTAATGCAGCACCAAATCTAATGCGCACCTCAGTTTTCAAAACCCTGAAACCTCAAAAAGTATTTACCATATTACACGAATCTAATGCGCACCCTAATTGTGAGAAGGCAATTTAGTCAAAAAAGGTGAGCATCAGAATTGAGTAAGTGCAGTCACTTGTACAACTACAAATCCCATGATCCCATAGCCTTATTATTTACTACATTTGTATATTGCCCCTCTCAGCCCGCAGGGGACTCAGGACAGTTTACAGTCAACATCAAAACATAAACACACAATAAAAACAATTAAGATAATGTAAAATCATGATAAAATCAATAAAAATCATTCAGCTATAGCATTTAAAGAGATGTAAAAACTGCATTAATTCTACAGTGCAGACACATCCACAATATATTTTTCCTGGGTGTAAGGACATAGGATTGTCATAAAAGTGAAAAACTGTAAATGAAAAATTATAATATTTTTTAAACTAACCGATCACCTTTCTAAGAATCTCTAGGTTTTGCAGTATTATCGTCAATTTTCACTGGAATCACACTGGAGGACTTAGAGATCCCAAAAGGGACGTTCTATCTAGAAATGTTGATGTCCTCCAACCAGCATCTTTGGTTAACTTGACCATAAAGCCACCCTGGAGGACCTAGACATTCCTCAAGAGAACATTTCAGCCAAATCCATGATATATGCAGCCAATGAGCTGCCTATTGAATAATCAATGGAGCATGTTCGTAAATGCACAATTGAAAGATCTAACCATGTATTTTGCTACAATATCTTGATATCGTTGAGACAATGCTCCTAAGATTGTGGATTCATGCGTGCTTGTGACTCGCCCCAACTAGCTAAAGTACCTGTCTACATGCAAAGGTGTATTTCGTCAGTAGGACAATATAAAAAACAGTCCCGATGCACCTTATATTAGCTTGTCTCCTGATAATTACTAACTGGCCTCGAAGTATAGCTTGCTCTCACTATAGGAGGAGAGCATGTGTTCTTAATCATTGTCCAGCTAGTACTCTCGTACATAACAGGCCTTGTAGAAGTGTTCATTTTAATGGTACACAAGTGCTCCCTGCATACCCTCCCGTCAGCTGCTATTAGAGGGTTCAGTGCATTAAAATGATTACAGTGTTCAATCCATGACTATTACGGTTAAGTCACAATCTATCCTTTTAAGATTGTACCTTCAATTATAATTAAGATACCGAATCTGCCTAATTTTTCCAACCTCTGGCCATTTTCCTTTTTTCCCATTTCCTACTCACCATCCTGGAGGTAAAGTCCCCAATCAGGGCCTTTGGGGGATAACATTGCGCAGCCACTGAAACAAAAGAGGAAACAAAAGGAAATATAATATGAGATAGTAAGCCATCCTTAAACAGCTCTCCTGCAATTCTTAACAGCGGTATCAGACTTAAAATACACAATTATAAAGAATCCAAGGGCCTTTCCACATTACATAACTGTTGTGCTATGATTCCACTTTAATGGTCATGGTTGCATCCTAAGGAATCTTAAAGTTTATAGTTTACTAGCTGTCCCCTGCCACACGTTGCTGTGGCCCAGTCTGTTGATCTGGAAAATAAAGTAATGAGAAAGTGTTGGTTTCTAATATATGTAATTTCTTTATGCTTGTGGGTAAACAGTATTTCTTGCTGTTTCTTTGTCAGTGTTGATGTGGAGAGAGTCTGGTTTGCCTATCCTGGAACATGCAACATATCATTGTCCTTCTTTAAGGGTCCCTTTCAAATCTATGATACTATATCTGTGTGGTGTGAATCATATCTATCTATATCTATGGCTGGATGGCTCTTTGTCAGGAGGGCTTTGATTACGTTTTCTTGCCCTGCTGAAGAGAGTTGGACTGGATGGCCTTAAGTATTTTCTGATGGTCATGGGGGTTCTGTGTGGGAACTTTGCCCCAATTCCGTCGTTGGTGGGTGTGACGGCGCGAGTGGCGCCACCTATGTATAGAACTGTTAGTTGTAGGACTTGAACTGTTGTATCATGCTTAATCCTGCCCCTTTTGCCATGTGTCTGTATATTTGTATGGATTGGTTACTTGTAGCTGTCAATCAGCACTGTTTGGCTCCACCTCTTCCTGCAAGAGGGGAGAACTTCCTCTTTTCTATTCATTCTGCGATGAGAGTTCCTGCAACATGGACGTGAGTAAGAGACTTCATTCTAAAGGACCCTGATAAGTTACCTCTTAGCACCAATTCTGAGGTTTTTTCCCCTGGGACTCATGCTTTATGTCCAGATCATCCTGGACGATACTGAGGAGACCCAGGCGCCTTCAAGCCAGTTCTTTTGGCACCAGAGGAAGATCCTGGATCTTCAAAATAGGCCATTTGAACTGGGGTTGTGGTTTGCTCCGGCATACACAGCCATTGAGGAAGAGGAAATCTGGTGAGGCTTCTCAGCTTCAAACCCCTTGGACCCAGGACTAAAAGAGACTGTAAAGTGTGTTTTTCCTTCACCCTGCTAAAGTTTTCCAGTTTATTGCATTGAAGAAATGACTTTGTGACAAATAAAACTTGTTTTGAGTTATTTACATCGTTTTGGGTTCTTGGGAGTTCCAGTTTCCTAAAGGAGGGCAAGAAGCAATCCCTTGGGGGAAAGATGCCACGTCCATCCTCCTTTTAAGACTAATAGCCCCCAAGCGCGACGGCACGTGGGGTTCAGAATGCTCTGTGATTGTAGGTGAACTATAAATCCCAGTAACTACAACTCCCAAATGTCAAGGTCTATTTCCCCCAAACTCCATCTGTGTTTTCATATTTGGGCATATTGAGTATTCGTGCCAAGTTTGGTCCAGATCCATCATTGTTTGAGGCCACAGTGCTCTCTGGATGTAGGAGAACTGCAACTCCCAAACTCAAGGTCAATGCCCACCAAACCCTTCCAATATTTTCTGTTGATCATGGGAGTTCTGTGTGCCAAATTTGATTCAATTCCATCATTGACGGAGTTCAGAATGCTCTTTGATTGTAGGTGAACTATAAATCCAGCAACTACAACTCCCAAATGACAAAATCATAATTTTTGAGTGATGGTCACTTCTTGTGTTGTGAGACATTTTGTTGCCAAATTTGGTGTGATTTCGTTCATTGGTTCTTTTGTTTTTAAGGTACTCATTATGCACAGAGCATTTTTATATATATAGATATAAGGCGCTATGGCTCTCTGGGATTCTAAATACCAGCTGATGAAATTGCAAAAAAATTAAAAACACACCTGTCATTTGGGGTTCCTGCATCCGAGTCTTCCAAAACAGAGGACTCGTTTTCACAGCCACCTAAAAAGAGAAAGATTTTGCAGAGTTGGTGAAGCAGGGAAAACGACTGAGGAAAGTATTGTGCTGTGAACAAGAGGAAATCCAATTATTACCCTTCCTGGATGAAATAAAGATACGTTTGGCAAACTCTCAAGAATGTCAGAAACTCCACACAGAATACAAAAGTCAACTGTTTTCCTCAGCTTCCAGAGGAAAGACATAAAATATTGTTGGAGCATGTAAGAAATCAGTTAGTGTGTGTGTGTCAATTGTAAAATAAGATGCATGAAGCTGATTGGTTGGGCTATGCCCGGAGAGATGGCTGAGCCTGGGACTTTTGGATACTGTTACATTTTTCAGGCTTGAGCTATGCAGGTGCTTGGAGAGTGAAGGAGAAAGAAGCAGAGAGAGAGAGAGAGAGCTTGGAGTGCGCTCTTGCTTCATGAGCTGCTGAAGGAGATTATCCATGTGGACAAAGAAATACCATTTTAAATCTCTCATAAAAGGACATTATGTGAGTCGATGCAACTGATCACATGATTGTAAATATGTTCCATGGGAGGCATTTCTTTATAGCAAAATAATATGGTTACACTATTTACAAGAATAAGGTTTCCATTACGCAAATAAAGTTCAACATTCACACAGGAATTTCACACACGAGGCCTTCTCATAGAATAAGGCCTGTCTCACACAGAGGCTTCTCTCACAGACTAAGGCCTATCTCACACAGAGGGTTCTCTCGCAGACTAAGGCCTATCTCACACAGAGGCTTCTCTCACAGACTAAGGCCTATCTCACACAGAGGGTTCTCTCACAATGTATTGTCGAAGGCTTTCATGGCTGGAATCACTCCGTTCTTGTGGGGTTTTTTTGGGCTATATGGCCATGTTCTAGAGGCATTTCTCCTTGTTCTAGAAAATGCCTCCTTGTTCTAGAAATGCCTCTAGAACATGACCATATAGCCCGAAAAAACCCACAAGAACGGAGGTTCTCTCACAGATTAAGGCCTATTTCACACAGAGGCTTCTCTCACAGACTAAGGCCTATCTCACAGAGAGGCTTCTCTCACAGACTAAGGCCTATCTCACTCAGAGGGTTCTCTCACAGACTAAGGCCTATCTCACTCAGAGGGTTCTCTCACAGACTAAGGCCTATCTCACATAGAGGCTTCTCTCACAGACTAAGGCCTATCTCACACAGAGGCTTCTCTCACAGACTAAGGCCTACCTCACACAGAGGCTTCTCTCACAGACTAAGGCCTATCTCACACAGAGGCTTCTCTCACAGACTAAGGCCTACCTTACTATGAGGCCTTTTCACAGACAGAGACCTTTCTCCCACTGAGGCAAACTAACACAGTGGCCTACTAAGCTGCTTATATTGAACTGCAGCTTTTGCTGAGTCATTGCATCCATTGAACCCTTTGAGTGCTTGACTCACATTTTTGCAATTAAAAATACCTAGTTAATTTTTTAAAATATTTTTGACATTTTTTGCACAGAGTACAGTCAATAATACCTTGGCATGAGTCTTCACCCAGGGGCGAGCTCTCCAGCGGTGGTGGTGGCTGCGTTGGTGGAGGAGGAAGGCCCTGCGGCAGTGGAGGAGGGGGCTGCGAAGGAGGAGGGGGAGTCGGGAAATTCAATGTTGGGGGCTGGGAAACGGAGAAAGGTGGAGGGGTTTGCAAAGTGGGTGGTGGTGGTGGAGGCTGGGAAGGAGGTGGCAACAGCAGGCTTTGGCGCATAGAAATGAGGGACGCATCACTGGGAATATGATTCGCCTCTAGCGGGTACTGGAGGGAGCTCCGTCGGGAGAAGGCCAACGGACCCAAGGCGTTGCGAGGTGGCTTGGTAGGAGCTTTCGGGGGGATAGCAGGGGGCAAGGCTTCACCATCGAATGAGGCAGTGGAACCCCCTTTACTACGACGGGGTGGTTTGGGCATCACAGGGGGGCAACGAGGTGGAAGGGGTTCGGCCGTGGAGCGGTACCCGGTCAACACCACTCCACCTTCGGGGTGTCCATTGGCAGAAGGGGGTAGATCAAGGGGTCTCTTGCTCCGAGGAGAATGGCGGGTTTTGGAGGACCTGCCCCCAGTAGATGAGGATGAGGAGGAAGAGGAGGTGGTGGAGGAGTTGGCAGGTGGGGCATTGAGCACCAGGAGGTGTTGGAAGAAGGGTCCTCCTTCATCAGCGGAAGAAGAGAGGTCTGAGGCAGGACCGTCTTCATCTTCTTGCTCAGCCGGCAGAGATGGTGCCGTGACCCAGGCCAAAACCATGCCGGGCCGGTGTTGGTGGCAAATGCAGGGGCAACCAGAGGGGCAAGAAGCGGGCAATTCTACACCATTCTGCTCCCCTCCACAGAAGACAGGAGGCTGGGTGTCTTCGGAAGGATCTACGGAAACAACCAGAGACAAAACACACTGAGCCTTATACAAAACCAATGGAGATGTCGTCATGAGTGGGTGGAGTGGGAGCTTGATATACTACTTTTAGACAGAGATCAGGAAAGTTAGGAAGACAGGAAGCAGTCTTTTATTGAGTCGGAACATTAGCACATCGAGCTCCATATTGATAATTTTGACAGATAGCAGGGTTTGGACAGGATGCTTTCTCAGTTCAGCATGGAGATTTCTAGTAGTTTTGCATCTATGTACAAACGAGTTCTTATATGTAAAGGGATCCGGTACCACCTTACAAACTAACCACTGGTGGCGCAGCAGGTTAAACTGCTGAGCTGCTGAACTTGCTGACTGGAAGGTTGGCGGCTCAAATCCAGGGAGCGGGGTGAGCTCCCACTGTTAGCCCCACTTCTGCCAACCTAGCAGTTCAAAAACATGCAAATGTGAGTAGATCAATAGGTACTTAGTTTCCCGGCCTTAGTTTTAAATGTGTCATATTGTCTAATGTTTATTGCTATTGTTTTAATGTTTATTGCTTGTTTTATGAGTTTATTTATTGTTGTATTTGTTATGCTGTTGTTTTATTGATGTGTTGGGCCTTGGCCTCTTGTAAGCCGCACCGAGTCCTTCGGGAGATGTTAGCGGGGTATAAATAAAGGATTATTATTATTATTATTATTATTATTATTATTATTATTACTGTTTCTGCAGGAAGGTAATGGCACTCCATGCAGTCATGCTGGCCACATGACCTTGGAGGTGTCCATGAAAAACGTCAGCTCTTCCGTTTAGAAATAATAATAATAATAATAATAATAATAATCCTTTATTTATACCCCGCTACCATCTCCTGAAGGACTCGGTGCGGCTTACAAGAGGCCGAGCCCAAAGATATCAGTAAAACACAACAACAGTACAATAATTAAAAAAACTCATAAACAAAGCAAAAAACATAAACAATAACACAGCGGAGCATTAAAACCTGTGGCAGGGCTAAATGTAGAACTTAAAATCTTTAAAATGGAGGTGAACACCATCTCCCAGAGTCGGTTACAATTACACTTAATGTCACGGGAAACCTTTACCTCTACCTTTAGTATCACTTTAACTATTATGGCTCCATGCTATGGAATAACAACAACAACAACAACAACAACAACAACAACAACAATAATAAGGCCACCTTACTTGGATCTGCGTGCTTCATTCGAAAATACATCACACAGACCTAGATGCTTGGGAAGTGTTCAATTGTGATTTTGTGATACGAAATCCAGCATATAGATCTTGTTTGCTGTGACATACTGTGCTTTTGTGTCAATAATAATAATAATAATAATAATAATAATAAACTTTATTTATACCTCGCCACCTTCTCCCCAAAGGTGACGAACACGGGTGAAGCCCAACAATAACAATACAACAAAACAAAATTCAAAGCAACAAAATAGCATCAAAATAAATACAAGAATTGACAAAATGGGAGTTGCAGTTTAGAGAAGCACTGACTCTCTTAGGCAGAGAAAGATAAAGACCTTACAAAACTACAGTTTTCAGGATTCCATGACAATGAGCCATGGCAGTTAAAGTGCGGTCAAACCGTACTAATTCTATAATGTAGGTGCATCCTAGAGGAACTAAGTTGGTAGCGTAAGGTTCATAGATTAAGGGTGGATCTACATTGTCTGTGCAAACAAGGATAACCATCAGTCCTACCTTGGTTACTGATACCCCAAATCACAAGCTCAGACGTAAATGGTGCATTGAGATACAGCTGGAAATAAGATGGGATTCATTGGCTTCACAAACTCCCTAAAAGAGTGAAGCTGCCTTAGATCAAAAGGGGTGGACCATAAAATGAGTATGTGGGGTGGTCAAAGCCACTGCCTGGAAATAAAAGCCATGAATGGTTGGTGGTCAGCCACATCTCCAAGTAGCACCCACCCAGCATCCTCCAAAACCATTCATCTAGCAGCTCCAATACACCTGTGATTATTTTCTGGGCAAACACACAAAAGGGAGTAAATCAGCTGTAAAATCTAAAATCCTGACCACTTACTGGATTGCCCCAGCTCCTCCTTTTCCTCCACGATCGTCCCGCTTCCATTTTCAGCAATAGGGAGTGATGCTTCACTGCAATTTGGAGCAATCTGGATTGCCTTGCCAGCCTCCTCTTTTTCCGGAATGGGATGGTCAAAGCGTACCACGATCTTCCGCACGGCGCCTGAATTCTGCAACTTGTGGAGGTGCCGCTGGTGGCTGTAAATGGGCTCAGTAACCTTGGAGGACCCTTTGCTCGGTGTTTCGGCTGTGGAGACCTCCGGGGGCAAAGCAGGGGTCGGGGCACGGCTCAACTTGGCAGAGTCCGGCCTGGGTGGCAAATAGGGCCGTGGTCGGGTGGGTGGGCGAGGCTTGATGATGCGGGTGGGCTTCTGGGCTGGAGGGGTGGCTGGAGGCAGCGGGTCCAAGGAGGACATCTTCATGGAGAGAGGGTCATAGGCAAGAGCTGCCGTGCCACCAATGAGACTTCATTTTCTGTAAAGCAAGAGAGGAAGAAATCAGGATCACCATTATTATCATCAACGACAACATCTCCCAACAAGGGTTTTTAAGGCAGCTAACAACATTCAGTCTGCCATCGGTATGCACTTGGGTTTGTTTCCAAGACCATCCATGGATACCAACACTTGTGGATGTTCTAGTCCCATTATATCCACTGACATAGCAAAATGGCATCCCTGAGTCCCGTCCCTCCTGGGGGGGGGGGGGGGGTTGAGAAGGGAGAGGTTTGGCTTGATTTATAATAATAATAATAATAATAATAATAATAATATAACTTTATTTGTACCCCGCTACCATCTCCCCAAGGGACTCAGTGCGGCTTACATGAGGCCGAGCCCACAATACAACAATAAAAACAATAGCAACAATAAACAGTCAATAAAATACAAATCATATAAATCACATAAACAAAAAACAATCAATAGTGACATAAACAATTTTAAAAATGGCCAGGCCAAATGTAACAGATTAAAATTGAAAATATGCTGACGTGAACAAGGTAAAATATAACTAGGATAGGATTTTTCAGAGAGAAATGAAGGAGCACAGTCCATCCTAACTCAGTATTAAAGTGCATTGTGAGGACATACTGCTGAGAGTTCTTCTTATTCTGGGAAGGCACACTGGAACAACCACGTTTTCAGGCTCCTCCTAAAGACTGCCAACGTTGGGGCATGTCTAATGTCCCTGGGAAGTGAGTTCCAGAGTCGGGGGAGCCACCACCGAGAAGGCCCTCTCCCTCGTCCCCACCAATCGTGCCTGCGAAGGAGGTGGGAGCGTGAGCAGGGCCTCTCCAGATGATCGAAGAGATCGTGTGATGGTTGCCATAGATGCAGGCGAAACGTCAGGAGAGAATGCCTCTAGACCATGGCCATATAGCCTGAAAAAACCTACAACAACCCTCTCCAGATGATCAAAGAGATCGTGTTGGTTCGTACACAGAAATGCGGTCACGCAGGTAGGCGGGTCCCAAACCGTTCAGGGCTTTGTAGGTAAGAACCTGCACCTTGAATTGGGACCGGAAAATGAACGGCAGCCAGTGGAGCTCCTTAAAATGACAGACAGCTCAAACAAGTGCTGGAGAAAGCCTAATGATCCGCATCCCCTCCTACCTCCAAATATTTTCAAATAGTTGTTGGTTGAATCCATGGATGAAGAACCCTTTAATATGGTTATAAAGATATCTTTGGCTAGATGAATTTCATATTAAACTTGGGTCCCATCACCAAGATATCCCATTATGTACTGTATATGCAGCATTCGGGGAAAAATCCAAAACAATGGAACACTTCTGGTCCTAAAATTTCAGATAAGAGATATGCAATCTTCACAGAGACTATTTCCTTTCTCAGGTCACTGTGGCCAGAGAGCTCCATTGCCTTGCCAAGCTATAAAGCCACATGGTTCCATTGTTAAACTTGAACTAAAGTGCTATAATTCTGTAGTCTGAATGGGTCCTTAGCAGCATCTCTCCAGACCACAGTGCTGCCTTTACGGTCCTATCTTGAGGTGATCTAAGGTTGAATCACTTCCTATGTTTGTATCTACGCTTAAAGGTAAAGGTTTTCCCTTGACATTAAGTCTAGTCGTGTCCAACTCTGGGGGGTGGTGCTCATCTCCATTTCTAAGCCGAAGAGCCAGCGTTGTCCATAGACACCTCCTGAATCATGTGGCCAGCATGATTGCATGGAGCACTGATACCTTCCTGCCGAGGCAGTGCGGTACCTATTGATCTACACACATTTGCATGTTTTTGAACTGCTAGGTTGGCAGAAACTGGGCCTAACAGTGGGAGCTCACCCCACACCCTGGATTCAAACCGCCAACCTTTCGGTCAGCAAGTTCAACAGCTCAGCGATTTAACCTGCTGCGCCCCTAAAGTGGAATTGAAGTGCTATAATTCTGTAGTCTGAGTATGTCCTTAGCAGCATCTCTCAAGACCACAGTACAGCCTTCCCAGTCCTATCTGGTGATGGTCTGAGGTTGAATCACTGTGCTATGGCTCTATGTTTGCATCTACACTGTAGAATGAATACAGTTTAATTGTCATGGCTTGATGCTATGGGATCATGGGAGTTGTAGCTATGCAAGGTCTTTAGCTTTCTCTTCCAAGGAGAGCTGGTGCCTCACCAAATTACAAATCTCAGAATACACAGCATTGAGCCATGGCAGTTCAGGTGGTGGCAAACTGCATTCACTCCACAGTGCAAATGCAGGAAACCCAACAGCAACCCAAACAACCGGTTGTGTCCATCTCACCTCTTTGTTCCGTTAGGCAAAAAACTCTCTCTGGCCACTTGACTCAGCCTTCCTTCCGGAAGCATTCCAAACTCATGCACACAGCCCTTGGCACTCCAGCCTTTGGCGTCATCTATCCTCCGGGGCGAAGGCTCTACAACTTCATTCATTGCAAGCTCCACACGCAAGACAGCACATCCTGCCCTCTGGGGAATTCGCACACGCGGCAACCCAGCCGGCTCCGAATGGCCCTCTGGGCCGGCAGCCAGAGAGACTCTTCAGCTTGGCAACCCTTGCCTGGGTGCGGCTTTCATGGCTGCCAGCTGGGGAAAATACCACAACAGGATCGTTCTGAAACACGTTTTTGGAAATTGGGGAGAGGGGTGAGTCTGACCCAAGTACCAGAAAATGCTGCTTTGCACAAAACAAGAGTATGGGCAGAATGAAAGTTATGGCCACCATGGTTCAACTTCAGCACTACACTTTTAGAGATTAGGACATGGAAGACTATATTCAAACTGCAGGAAAAGATATTTTACCTAAGCATTAGGAAGAACTTCCTGACAGTGAGAACTTAAGTACCTAGCCCTGAATTCTACTGATGAAGTCCCAAAGCCATAGATTTCTAGGTTGGACTGGAAGCAATGTCTTCATTGCCAAGAAGAGTTCCCTTGTAGCAGTGTTTCTCAACCTTCCTAATACTGCAACCCCTTAATACAGTTCCTCATGTTGTGGTGACCCCCAACCATAACATTATTTTTGTTGCTACTCCATAACTGTAATTTTGCTACTGTTATGAATTGTAATGTAAATATCTGATATGCAGGATGTATTTTCATTCACTGGACCAAATTTGGCACAAATACCAAATATGCCCAAATTTGAATACTAGTGGGATTGGGGGAGGTTGATTTTGTCATTTGGGAATTGTAGTTTCTGGGATTTATAGTTAACTTACAATCAAAGAACATTCTGAACTCCACTAATGATGGAATTGAACCAAACGTGACACACAGAACTCCCATGACCAACAGAAAATCCTAAAAGGGTTTGGTGGGCATTGATCTTGATTTTTGGAGTTGTAGTTCACCTATTACTTACTTACTTACTTAGGCGATCCCTCGTTGGACGAGTAAGATGGTCTTCCATTATGGATTTCCTTGTGGGTCCGTATGTGGCTGTGGAGCCCTATTCTTGCTCTGCATCTTCTTCCGCAGTGAGGGCATTTGTTTCCAGGTGGAAGGCGGTCCCGGTCGGGGTTGGCTCACGCCTTCCTCTTGGCACGTTTCTCTCTTTCACCCTCCACTCGTGCCTCCTCAAATTCTGCAGCACTGCTGGTCACAGCTGACCTCCAGCTGGAGCGCTCAAGAGCCAGTGCTTCCCAGTTCTCAGTGTCTATGCCAGAGTTTTTAAGGTTGGCTTTGAGCCCATCTTTAAATCTCTTTTCCTGTCCACCAACATTGTGTTTTCCATTCTTGAGTTCAGAGTAGAGCAACTGCTTTGGGAGACGGTGGTCAGGCATCCGGACAACGTGGCCGTTCGCGGAGTTGATGGCAGAGGACCATCACTTCAATGCTGGTGGTCTTTGCTTCTTCCAGCACACTGACGTTTGTCCGCTTGTCTTCCCAAGAGATTTGCAGGATTTTCCGGAGGCAGCGCTGATGGAATCGTTCCAGGAGTTGCATGTGACGTCTGTAGACAGTCCACGTCTCACAGGCATATAGCAGGGTTGGGAGGACAATAGCTTTATAGACAAGCACCTTGGTCTCCCTACGGATGTCCCGGTCCTCAAACACTCTCTGCTTCATTCTGGAAAATGCTGCACTTGCAGAGCTCAGGCGGTGTTGTATTTCGGCGTCGATGTTGACTTTGGTGGAGAGGTGGCTGCCAAGGTAGCGGAAATGGTCCACATTTTCTAATGTTACACCATTAAGCTGTATTACTGGCATTGGAGAGGGATTGGCTGGTGACTGCTGGAACAGCACCTTGGTTTTCTCAATGTTCAGTGACAGGCCGAGCTTCTCGTATGCTTCTGCGAAGGTTCACCTATATTCAGAGAGCACTGTGGACTTCAACAGCCAAGCTTAGCTTGACTCAGCCTTCCTTGCCAACAGAAAATAGTAAGGGTTTGGTGGGCATTGACCTTGAGTTTTGGAGTTGTAGTTCACCTACATTCAGAGAGCACTGTGGACTCAAACAATGATAGATCTGGACCAAACTTGGCACAAATACTCAATATGCCCAAATGTGAACACTGGTGGAGTTTGTGGGAAATAGACCTTGATATTTGGGAGTTGTAGTTGCTGGGATTTATAGTTCACCTACAATCAAAGATCATCCTGAATCCCACCAATGAAACCCACACGAAACCCTCATGGCCAACAGAAAATACTGTGTTTTCTGATGGTCTTTGGTGACCCTTCTGACACCGCCTCGCGACCCTCCCAAGTGTTCTGACCCCCAGGTTGAGAAACGCTGCCTTGTAGGATGAAGAGAAAGGCATAACTTTGCCAAAAGAACAAGTGCTCTTTGTGAATTGAACCAAGTTTACACATTTGGTTTGACAGCTAAAGACTCAAAGGAGGATATTGAAGGAGAAAAAGGCTGGAATGCCTTTTGCAGTGGTCACAACCCTGTTTAGCTTCTGTTATTCTCCAACCCAATGGCTGAGTTTCCTGTTACTCATGAAACAGGGAAATGGACTTTATCGGCTCTATATAAAGTCCTTCGGCTCT